TAGAAACAGGAAGGTCTGAAACAGTGCATAGCGCTTCTGTTTGTTACTAAGAATACCAGTGGGTTTATTGCTGGTAGAGCCTGAGGCGCTTTAGTGGCCAGTAATCTCGGGTAGTTTTAGTTTTAAGTAGTTTGGAAAAACATCAAGGATTGATAATGGCTTGTACTAAGTTATGTCTAGTTCATCATAAAACAAACATAAACGTGTGATAACGTTTTTTGAACTGTTGGCGTAGAACACGGGAGAAGCTTGGATGATTTGTAGAAGTTCAGAGGCACAAAAATGGGTGTAAGGCTGGAAACAGTCCAGAAAAGAGACACCCCCCTCCATCACCCCCCCCTTAGGGCTGTCTGTAGCCATTACCTGTGCTGCAATCTGAGCAGAGTGCAGAAGACAACCTTTCCTTTTGTTCCTGTCCGTGGTTGTAACCTTTGTTTGCTGAATTTCCTTTTATTTTTGCTGAGGAAGTTCAGCTGGGCTATATTGGTAATCAGCTGGGGGGGGAATGAGGTTAATCACCCCATTTACTGTTGGAAGGCTGGCTGGGGAGATTTGAGCTTATGGAACAGTCATAATGGGACAGATAAAAGCAGGTCTCAGATAAAATACAGGTCTCTCTATCTCGGAGGAGGGCGTGCTTTACAGAAACAGGGTGATAACAATTATGTTTGTAGTACTTTCGCTGTTCATATTTAATCTAGTACTCCCTGGGGAAACGAAACTTAGGAGACTGTTCTCTTTCCCTTTAGTTGTTCTTTTGGACTTTTGGACTTTTCAGCTAGTTGGGACCAAATTTTAGAACATATTTGAAGTAATGGCAGAAGATCGTTGAGTTTCTGTGTGTTTTCTGGAAAAATCATGCCTCAGTAGAGGAGGGATCTCTGCTGAGGGCAAAGCAGGAGGAAGTCACGTTTCCTCTTAGGGAGTAGCTCGGAACCAGTCAGCGTGTGGGTTCCTTCAGCTGTGGTACTTCTCTGCTTGCCCGATGCACTGTGATCGAGAGGGTGACAGAGGAGCACAAAATGAATGTATAGGAAGCCAGGTATATTCAGTTCTGCTGTTGATGAAACGATTAAAAAAAGAAATGCTTTGCAAAAGAGCAACTCGGAATGCAAGAGCTCACAGTTTAACTTGGCCTTCATCTTGGAAGAGGCCCTGTTATGGCAAAATCTGACCCAAAATGCGTGCTTATGAAGGAATTAAATACAGTTGAACAACTTGAGAGCAAGGAGTGGAAGGGCAAATGGGTAGAAATATCTTCTTGAAAGCGGTTTGTTTTTTTCCTGTTTGGAAGTAAGCGTTACCCTGAGTTTTTTGCAATTCAAATGCAGAATTTTCTTATGCTAGTCTGAGAGGAGGAGGAAACAAAAGAAACTGGCAGAAAAGAAAGTGAAACAATCTCGTTCCTTCGTTTCGTGAGCCTGAAATGGATTCTACAGTAGTGAAATCAAAGCTGATTTTAAACATTTTTAATTTGATTGTTGTAGGTGTGTATAGACTTAATAATTTTCCAGAGTTTGAGGTCAGACGGTGTCTTGTCTGTATTTCAGCCAGATTATTTTTCTACAAAGTGCCAGGAATTGAGCTAGATTTCGGAGGGGTAACTGGCACTGTGCGTTCAGAAAGCAGGGGAAGCCAAGTCCCCGGCAACACCAGGATACTGACTAAATGACGTACGCTGAAATGATTTAAACAAGTGAATCACACCCCAGTTTGCAGACGCAGGTGAAACACTCTGCTTTTGTTGCCGGCCTGTCTGGAGAAGATTCTTCTTTGATTCCAGGTCTGGCAATTTGGTATGAGCCTGATCTTGTGCGTAAGATGTGCCATCCAGATTTGTAGAAAGATGCCACCTCAGCACTGATTCACTCCACTCTTGTGTTTTGTTTCCAACCATGTTGTTCTTTTCGGAGGCACTCCTTTTCCCTCCTACTGCCTCCCTCTCTGCCTGCTCTCACATGTAGATGGTCAGTAGCTGTCAGAGATCTCAGGGGCTTTTTGAGATTGTCACGGGTTTAATAGTGGTCTCTTCTTTTGTTTTACATCTGAAGTTTCATTTGTTGGTTTACTTTGCAGTTCTTTGTGAGATGGCTGGCTTGGTTACTATTGAGTATTGTACAGCAGTTTAGATTATTTTTTGTTTGCTAAATCATTTCAGTGTTAAAAAGCAAAAGCAAAAAAAATCCTAAAGTAAACCAACATTATTATTACACTTGCGTTTCGGATTCTGAATTTTGTTGTGGAACGGTTAGCTTTTTTTGTACAGAATATTGTTGTCTTAGGAAATTTCATGACCTATCTTTATTCGTGTTTCTCAGGAATAAAGAATGTATCTGTGCTTTTTAACCTTAACTACTTACATTATTGCACTCTCTTAATACGTGATGTTATCACAGTGCGCAATTTATTAGCTGAGTTATAAAGATAGGTTTTATTAGCAGTGTCCTTCAGTTGTTTATTCCCCATCTCATTTTTACATTTGATTAAAGCTTATAGATTATCTTTGAATATATAACTGTGTATTTTATTGAATGGATACGATCAAATCATTTGAGCCTACTGTAAATTTTTTTTTTTTAAACCTTCTTGCAAAACGTGAATCTAACAATTTGACGCTTAAAGCAGAGCAAAAACGAAGCCCCACTTTCCCTCCAACGCCGGAGTTTCATGGTAGCTTTTAGCTGGCAGTGGTGCCAAGAGGAGTTGTCCCCACCCTACTAGTTGTTTTTTTTATTACCAGCTCCTGCTCCTCCTCCTCCTCCCTTGTGCCAGCTTTATGTTAAGCTGGATTGGTTTTCCGGTTTTGTTCACTGCAGAACTGCCCAAGGGAGGGAGCAGCCGAGGAGTGGCAGTGAGTACCCGGGTGGGAGGAAGGGTGTTATCGTTCCTTGTCGGAGCTGGTGCCGACCTCATGCTGCTTTTCAGGGAACATGGAAGTGTGGCCTCAGCAGACTCCAGTCCGGCGTTGAAGGGTAGTGGTGTGGATGTCAGAAATGAACCAGAAATGAAAGTGGATCTGATGTGTGGGGTGTTGGGTTTTTTTTTTTGTTTGTTTGTTTGGTTTTTTTTACCCCTCTTCAGGTTGAGCAACTAGAACATAAGGAATAGTTTAGAATTTGAAAAATCTTACTGTCCTTTCTCTCCTGGTTACATAAAAAAAAACTTCTCACTAGAGTACAGTGTAACGATAGTGACATCCTGTATGTAACTGGTGGTCAGAGACTAGAATAGTTTAGTCAACCTACAGGGACTCAGGGCTCCTCTTACCACGCTGAGGCTTGATGGTGCAGGTGGGCACTGGTTCCTGCTGCCGAGCTAATAAGAGTTACTGTGGGAAAGACAGTGACTCCAATCCAAAGGCAAATAGTATTTAATTTTTTTGACTTTTTGGTTTTTGACTTTTGGTCTAGAAATAAGAACCAAATGTAATTGGTGCTTGGTAGAAAATAGTTGTAATAAGAGCTAAATACATTTGTGAAATAAATTACTTGGCCATTGGAATTAATTTAGTAATACATTTTTTTTTCTTTTATATTTTTCTGAAGACTGATGCTGACTTTAACTTCATGAAAATTCTTGTGGCTTTTGGTTGGGGTTTTTTCATTTTTGAAAGATAATATGTATTTTCAATTTTGTCAATAGAGGCTTAAGATAACAATTTTTAGTATGTGCTTTGTGTCCAGAAGTATTTTCTGATGTGTGTCTCTTTAAAGTGAGAGATAGTAACTACATTATATAACCTGAAAGAAAAAAAAAAAAATACTGTCCTCGATACTGATAATATTCAGCAAGTTTTTTTTTAACCAGACATTTTATTCTGATCCTTCCTTCTGGTTCTTATTACTTCAGTACAAAGTACATTGTGATACTTCTAATAGTTGTAATTAATTGACTTCTCTGTTATTCCTTTTCTTCACTAAATGATAAGCTACTTATTCTTACGGGTTCTCTAAAACCCAGAAATTCCCATGAATCATGCTTCTACCTGCCAAATATGTACGTAGACAGGAAAGAAACTCTGTGTTCCCAAACTCTTACCCTGCTATAGTCTTATAAAATTTATTTTCTTTTGTGTCTGATATTTAATTCCCTTATTTTTTATTGCTATCTCAAGGTTATTTAAAAAAAAAAAAAAGTAAATGTAAGTTTGTGTTACAGATTCCCCCTTCATTTTCTACGTTAGTAAGAGTAATTCCTTACAAACAGACCCACTTATTCATGCTTAGCTTCCCACTGGAAAAACAATCTTTGCGTTGTCTCCAACATAAAGCTCAGATGATATACCACCTAAAGGACTGAGGTTTAGATAAGTGAAGTTAATCTGCAGCTAAACAAAATATTTACTATTTGTGGGGGCTTTTGGCTAGGCAAAATCTTATTTCATTGATGGCAGCTAACTTATATGAGAATTGTATGTGTCAGAAATATGCTTAAGTATCTATGGATACAGGTGATAGGTCAGGTTTATTTTTAATACTTTGATCTATATCTCTAAATACTTTTTTTTTTTTTTTTTTTTTATCAGTTAATAAAATGGAGCTTGCTTGCTGGAAACTGAATTAGTTTTCTCTGGTGGCTAATTTGAGCCGTATGCTTATTGAGTGGTATTTTTTAGATGTGTTAATTTTTTTTTTTTCCCAGTGTAGTTGCAGACATCTTGGTTCTTGTTTTTTTCAGAAAGCCAAAAATAGGAAGGGAAGAAAAAAAGCAAGCTGTTGGCAGGTTTATCACTGAGTGTTTTTTGCCATGTTCTGCCATTTTTCTTCTCTTCATATCTCCTCCTCTTTTAAATAGAAATCAAGATGATCAAAATTTTCTTGAGTTATACTTGAATACAGAATGTATAAGGAAGATTCACTTACACCTGTGGGGAGAACATCCACCTATAATAATTCGTAGTTACACTTTTCTTTAGAGAGGTTTATTTTAATACATTGTCTGCATAGGGCTTTGATATTTTTCCTTCAGTATAAAAATGTCTGTCATTATTTCTTCAGTAGACAATCAGCTCCGATCCTTGCCTGCACGGTGGATTTAAAATCAACTGCAAATTGCTGAAGAATTGCACTTCAAGTGGTCTCAAGAGACAGGAGAAGCAGGTCTTCACTATAATGGAAGAGGCCAAGAGCTCAAAGAATGGAAATCATGACCCAAGGAAGTCTGTCCGTCTTGTCTGTGAGGAAGGCAAAGCAGTCAAAGTTACAAATAATCAAAATTATAAACATAATAGAAATGACAAATCCGTGAAGGATGTTGGGAGAAGTTCTCCAAGTGGGAATAGCAGCAAAAAAAGTAAACAAAATGATGTTTGTTCTGAAAAACAAGGAGAAAATAAATCATGCAAAGTAAATAGTTGTATTCCTGGAACTAAAGATGTGGGATCAAATGTTCAGGATCGAAGTCATGGAAAAGCAAAAAAATGTTCTAATTTATCATCAGCAGTGGAAAACCTGAAACAGGCAAAAGCTCAACCAGTGGGAGAAAACTTTCCAGGCTCCCATGTTTCAGGGAATGGGGTCGGTATGGAAAGCTTAACAGCTGCACAGAAAGGGAAACTGGTGTTGGAAAACCCACTGGGAATTCCTACTTTGAAGACTGGTGTTGATCAAACTGGTGATCCTGGTAAGACTGCTTCGGATCAAAGGAAAATGGAACATAAGCCTGATGACTTCAGTGAGTATTATTCAACACTACTTTATTCAATTTTCTTCTGGTATTTTGTTAACAATCTGAAATGGGCTTTGAAATGTTTCTATTTGCATATGTTTTTTCACATACAGTAAGTTGCTGATTGCATTTAGAGAGAGCGTACTATTAATACAAACGTATTACTTGGAGAATAAGAGACTATGATAATAGCTGTCCTTTTTTCTCATGCCTAAGACCTAAATATCTTTGGGAGACACTTAGTGTGCGTGGGTTTCAGGCAGTTTTGTGAGTATAGTGAATTGGGAGAGGGGAACCTTTTGTAATAACATTGCCGCTTATGCAAATGCCAGCTATTACTGCTTTTCAGAAAGATCAGGGGAAAAATCTGCAAGAAAAGTTTGGGTTTTTTTATAGGAAAGGGGAAAATATTTACCTTTTTTTTTTTTTTTTCTAGGATTATCATGCTCTTTTTGTTACTAAAAATGTTTAAAATATGTTTTGGCAGATGGCTTTTCAGTTTAGGGAGGTCTGGAATCCATACCATCCATCAGTGGTTACCCTTATGAGCGTTCAGTTCTTGTACATATTTTTCAATTTCTGAATTAAATATATGGATCAGGCTTTGTCTGACTTCAGGCTAACTCCTTAATTCAGGATTCGTGATGATTTTTCAAAATGCAGTTTCTTCTAATAAAAAAGCTGTTTTAAGACGTCGTGCCAGCGCGAGCCTCCTATTTGAAGTATTTCCCACTATTGCAACAGCTACAGCAGTTGCTTGTATGGAAATACTAGGAAAATATTAAAGTGCGTATTTTTTTAAATATCTTAATAAAATTTAACAGGAAAAACAACTTGAAATGGCAGCATCCTGTGATCAGTCAGCTCTTTGTAGACCACCATTATGTACTGTCGGGACCATCTGTCACTGAGAAACCAGAACTTGAAAACTTGCTCAGTTTTGATTCCTGGCTAATCTGGGGGCACAGATCGCGTTTGAAAGGAAAGAAAAAAAAAAAAAGAGAAAAACAAACCAAACCACAACTAGCCCTCACTTTTGTTGATGTAAAACTACTGGAGTAATTTCAGATGTAGATGCTTGTACAAATTAGTGGACTATGAACAATTCAGAGGCATGTGGAGGAACTGGCCTTTCGGAATTGAGCTGCGTGTTTGTGAGCAGCAGCGTTCCAGAGCTCGGTGGCTGCTGGCCGTGGGCGGCAAGGTGTCACCCTGTGCTCTGATGCAGCTCCAGCAGCATTCTCAATTGAGGGCTGGAAATGCCTGATGCCAGGCTCTGTAAGATCATTTGGGTGAATGTCTTTAAGGCAGTTGTATGATTGTTTTCCTTAACAAAATGTATTGTGTAAAACAAACATTTTAAGCCTAATGCTTCTTACTTCTGTTATAGTAGAGCATCAGGATCTCGCATACTCTGTTCTGCATAACAAAAAAAACCCCTTTCCTTGCCTTGAAGAACTTAACAGAGGCTGAGAAGTTATGACAGAAACACAAAATGAATCTTTTTTTTTTTCTCTTTTTGATAACACTCTCAGTAGCAGACTGATTTCTAAAGTCTCTCCAAAATACTGGTTAATATACTGGAAAGATTCTAACATCTAGGTGATTTTAGCCAGGCTTTGGACAAAAAAACAGATGGAATGTAGCTCTAATTTGGGTCTGGCTCCTTAGTGAGATGCTCTTAAACTGCTCTGTGCTTTCACTTTTTCTCTCCTTGAGTTACTCTGAAGAAAATAACCATTTCTTTCTCTAGGTAAAATAAAGAATTCTGAATCAACTAAAGAACATACTTTGGAAGCTGATTATTTAGAAAACACTGCTGTTATTGACGAATCTAATCTGACAGCTGAACAGCAACTAGGATTGAAACAAGCTGAAGAACGTCTGGAAAGAGATTATATTTCCCGACTTGAAAAAGTAGGTTGATCAGATAAAAAAGAAAAGGGGTGTCTTCTTTCATTATCTTCACCATATTTCTGGTTGGGTGGTATTTCTACTAGAGCCTGTTGCCACTGTTTCTTTTCTTCTTTATAATGAAACACTTTAGTGATCTAAAGTACTGTCCCTAGTTGTTGACTACTCATTCATCATGGCAGATGAGGTAGATTGAAAACTTGGTGTTCCTTTTGTGGCGCATGTAGCCTTTGTAAAATAGTATTTTTTAATTCTACAGACCAAAGGGTTTACAATTCCTTTACTTACCTAAGATTTTCTAGAAAATCTGGTTACCTGGAAACTCAGAATACAGGATCAAAAGGAACTCTGTGCTATCTTCAGTGTATTAACCTTCCGCCAGTCTGCATCACCTGTATTGAAGACAACTCCTTAAAAATGTTGGTCTAAACTGTTCTTAATATTATCTCCAGTGAAACAAATTTCAAAGTCAGTATAGGTAACACAGAAATTTTTCTTGACATCTAACATAAGCGTCTCTTGCAGCATTTCAATTCCTCATATGTTGTCCTAGGAAAATAAACATAAGTTTATTACTTTTTTCAGCAACTTTCTACGCATTTGAATATCATTACTGTTCCTGCATTCTCCTCTTCCTCAGACTTGGTCTTTGTTCTTCCGTCTCATGGGGGTTTTAGTGACTGGTTCATTCTTGTTGCTCTTCTGTAGGTATCCTCCATGTAACTGGTATCCAAAATTGGACATGCAATTTCAGCTGAGGGCTTACATATAAATAGGAAAGCTGGCTTCATCTGTCTGAAATGAAGCATTTGTGTTTAGGATATTTGCTTTTTTAGCAGCAATAGGATGTTGGCTTGTAATTTGACCAGTGATGATCCCCGTAGCCTTTTCTTAAAAAATGTCCAATCAGGTGTTCGCAGCCCTGTATTTTCTGCAGTTGATAATACCTAAGGAGGACCAATACTTTGCTTCTATATTATTTAATTGTACCTTATTTATCCCATATCTCTAATTTGTTGTGATCACTGAATTTTTGTCATCTTGCATCTTCTGTAACCTCTCCCAACTTGGTATCTTTTGCATTTGTAGTCAGCATTGCATTTTGAGCAACCTGGTCTGGTGGGAAATGTTCTTGCCTATGGCAGGGACATTGGAACTCAATGATCTTTAAGGTCCCTTCCAATCCAAACCATTCCATGATTCTGTTGCATTTTCTAAGTCTTCAACAAAAATACAAATTTTTCTGACCCCAGAAGGCACATGCTTTTAGACACATGGTGAACCAGTGTACATGTGCTCTCAGGGCAGTTCTCTAGTTGTTTTGCTCCCACCTTAGTGTTCTTTATTTAGATAGTATTTATGGTCTCCTTTTGAGACTGATACTATGACAAGTGACAGAAACTTCAAGGTACACATCTGTTGCTGCTTCTTCAAGCCCTATGATTTCACCTTTACAAAAGCAACCCTAAAATTGGTTTAGTGCAACTTGTTAATAGCAGATCAGTTTGTTCCTGATGACCTGTTTTTATGTGCTTATTAATATCTTAATTTATTACAGTATTTTTCTTGGTGATAATTCTGACTGGTCTCTAAGTCCTTGGCTCATCCTCTTCAGCCTTTTAAAGATATTCTTAAGTTTCTCTTTCCTATTGATCTGGAAGCTTTCCCATTCTCTTAAAGTTTTGAAAAATACAACTGCTCTGGGATGAATTATCTCCCTGAATATCCAAGCACAGATTTCATGAGGCCTGGCTTGTTTGGATGCATCTATCTTACACAAGTAGTAGTCTGTATCTTGGTGCTAAGCATGGTTAGATGATTAATCAAGGCAAAATAAAAGGCATTACATGATTCAACCTTTATAGCAACATCTGTTGACATAATACTGCAGATCAGTATTGCAAAGAAATATCCAATTTTTAAAAATATTATTACTACTGATAATAATTCAGTTTTAGAACTGGTAAACTATTTTTGATCTACTTCAATCATCAGGTAACGAATACTTGAATCTCCTGAGATAGCCAAGTGTAACTCTTAAGTTGTTTTCCAAATGGATGTTTAATTTCATCTTACTATGTATCTGTCTCATAGGAAAAAAGGATGAAGAGAATTAGTAATAAAAGCATACTGACCGTGTTATTTTAAAGTGATATTTACCCTACAGTTGGAGGGTATCACACCTTTTTTGATAATTCTTTTTCCAAAACTAAAAGATCAGACTCAGTAAGTGGAAAAACTTGCCCAAATTTAGCAGTGGTTTAGGTTTCCATGTAGTAAGTAAAATTTGTTTAACTGATCTATAGTCCACCTTAGTGTCTCAAAATGGTGTTCTCCATTCATTGTTATGTCACTGCTAAAACATCTGGTGTTTTCAGTCTACTTTTCGGTTTTAGTAAATATAGATGTATTAGAATTAGGATGAAAATGTTAAGCAGGGTTTTTTCTCTCCCGGGTATAACTGATAGCAGTTATTGGAAAAATGCTTACAAGTCTGGAGGAAAACTAAGGCTTTTTGTTGGGGCCCTTTTATCTTTGCAGTGATCATTTCTAAAGGTTCCCAGTCTCTCTACAGCTTTGTTTTATTAGAGCAAGAAAATTCAACTCCAGAATGAGATGGATTAAGATGGAGTATTTGCTCATCTTTGCAGAGGTGGTCCTTTCTGCCTTTTAGTCTGGTGGCTTCCTGGTTGAAAAAACTCCACAGTATCCCCTCTTGGACCCTGGGAAAGCAGTGATTTCTGCCTCCCATCATCTCCTGAGGCATGGCTGCTTCTTTGAGACCCTCGAGTCTCTCCCAGGTGGCACCTCTCCATTTGTGTACTCCCTTTCTCCCGGCCTGTCTGTACAAAAAGATGCTTGCTCTGCGTATTTCTCCAATTCTGGGCATCCCAAATTATCTATCAAAATGGAATAATCTTACCGCTTGTTGGAGGATCCCACCTTATCCAGAGCATGGTCAGTCATTAGTAAGCCAGAAACTGGCTATCTTCCTCCTTGTTGGCCAGCCGCACCCTTTTTAACAGAACAAAAAAATGCAGTACTTGCAGAGTCCGCTGCGAATACGCTAGCCAAACAACAACACCATCTGTCATAACATGTATACTAGATAATATGATGAATACTTCCCATTTTCTCGTCGGAGAAAGGAGGATAGATGCTGAGATTTAATAAATCCATAGTTATTAAAAGCTTGAGCTGACAAGGGAATGGCTTACTGGCCTTTAGGTCAGCCTTAAGAGGCATAAACTCTTCAGTCTTAATCTTGCCTCACTAAAATTTACTGAGAAGTGTAATATTCAAATCATCTCACTTCCTTTCCTCATTTTCCCCACTTGTCATATGGGTAAAAATCCATTTCCACTGTGTTTTTTGAAGATTACTCAATGTTTGCAAAGCACCTTGACATTACAAGTGTTACATAATTGTTAAATACAATTTATTATTCAAAGAATTGAGTTTTTCAGACGCTATTGGCAGAAACATTTTCTTTTAATCTATGGCCATTTTTCCTCAGCGCTCCCCAGAATACACCAACTGTCAGTATCTATGCAAGCTCTGCTTAGTTCACATTGAAAATATCCAGGGAGCTCACAAGCATATTAAAGAAAAGCGTCATAAGAAAAATATAATGGTAAGTTAACAAATAAAATTTTGACTGATTTTTTTTTTTTTTTTCTTCTGATTTTTTTTTTTTTTTCAAGATTTTTTTTTTGTTGTTGTTATGTGGTATGTTTTCTTTGGTCATCTTCATTTAGGTGAAAGTTTGTGTGCTGAGCAGAGATCCACAAATTTCTGTTGCTCGTTTTTTGTTTGAGAGGAAGGGCTTGATGATCTGTCCAGGCAGAGAGGAAAGAACATTTTTGGTCATTGCTTCTGAATTACTGTCTCTGAGTAGTGGGCAGTTCATCATGCTTTTAGTAACAGAATGGAGGGTAATTTAGGTGAGAAACATACTTAGTTTTTCTGTTTCTTCCAAAAAGAGTATCGTTGGTAGCAGGGACTGGAGGTAGGTTGGGGATGTTGGTTTTCTGGTTTCTCTTTTGTCTGCCTTGTGAAGTTTTCATCTACATCCTCTCTGTGGTGGGAAAGTGGAGTGGATAGTATGTCTAGACTAAAAAAAGAGAGTTAAAGTAGGGAGGGATTTAGTTCCCAAGTCACTCACTCATCATCTCCCTGGGTTTATGTATGTGTTAAATATGAGAAACAGTTCTAAAGCTTTCAGAGATAAACAGTTTCCTTATCAGATACCGTGGTGTTACTGTTTGCTTTGCTTTAAAGAACTGTTACAAGCATGAAATCCAATAAAAGGCAGACAGATTTTATTGCCAGCCCGTTTTTGTAAATGCTGGTGAAGAGCTACAAATACCCCAGTATTGTGATTCAGATTTTGTGATTCAGATTTTGTGATTCACATGATTCAAATTACTCTTTCTACAGCCATCGCCCAAAATTCAGTCAGTTACTTACTCCTGTTCCTATGTATTTCTTATGTTCTTATTATGTTTGTAATTGATGCTTTAATTCTATCGTATATGCAAGCCATCACCTGGAAAACTCTGAGTGCCATAAATCCATTACATCTCAGAAAGTAACATTTTTGTATTATGTTCAGTTATTATTTGTAAAGGATTCTGGTTTTCTTGCTGTCTGCTAAATTGCATCATGAAAAAAAAATGTAATAAACTGGCAACAAACCAGCCCTGTGTTTGATATGGAAACACCCTTGTACCATGCTTTTCATCTGGGCATGAAGATAAGAATTGAGGAATGAGGTTTCTTTACCACTGAATGGAAATGCTAGAGGACAGGGAGGGGTTTCAGTTTTTGACACTTATCTTCAAGTAGCTTTATGTTGTGTGCCACATGACAGTGATAAGAGGTACGTAACTGTCTAAACGTTACTTCACAAAATACACCTATTTACAGTTCTAACTATGAGGTACTTGACTATCAAACAAGCTTAGCAGCAGCTGTGGCTTCCCCACTCAAGAAAAACTCAAGAAAAGCAGTGACATTAAAAAAACCACAACCCTTAAAAAGGCACGTATTCTTTCTTATGTTAAATTTGTTCAAATAAGAGCAGAAGAGTTGAGAGATGCAGCCTAGAACTAACCGAACATTTTCGTACTTGACTCTGTTTTCTTAGTTTATTATTTTTTTTTCTGGTTGTTATTTATTTCTGTTGTCAGTCACATATTTCATTTAGTTGATGAATTTGTGAAAAGAGTGAGTGTTGTACTTACTTTGAAATGACTTGATGCATCTGACGTATTTCTTGCTGTTGGATTAAATTGATAATAACTTAATGCGCTAAAAATAGCAGTTTCTGGCACCAGCTGTTTAGGCAGCAGTGGGACTCAACTTACTAGAATTTCTTGGAGCTAGGAATACTTTTTCTGCCTCTCATATCTTCCCTTCAAATACAGTCCACTCTGAAAAAAATGTGTAACTCCAGAAAAGCTTTCTCAGCTCAGTTACCTTTATTATGTAGGAACAATTACGGCTTTTCATTTCCTTGGATGAATTCTGTTTCAGAACTGTCAGAAAATGTGGTTTAGGAATGTAACACGGCAGATTTCCTCCCCAAGTTGCCAGCAGTGAAACAACACGTTCTTTTAAACACTGAGCATCTACTGTCATTTCTGTGAGCCATACTGGTACATTTGCCAGTTAGACTGGACAGAGTTCTACCTTTGAAAATGTTTGGTCAGGACACCATGTAAATACAAGAACACAAACAGCAAACAGTACGTTCTGATATCATGCAATAGTATGAGATAACCTTTTTCTCTTAAAATATCAGTTTTTACTTTTATCATCCAACAATTATTCAGGAAAAACAAGAAGAAAATGAGCTGCGTGCCCTCCCACCCCCCTCTTCTGCACAGTTGGCTGCTCTGAGTTTTACACTCATTGAGGCAGCAAATGAACAAGGCATATCAGATGATGACTTCAGAATTCGTCAAGAAATTGTAAACGAGATGGAGAAAATTATTCAACAGCCCTTACCAGGTACTCATAGTAATTCTCCATTTTCTTTAGGTGAAAATTTTTAATTTTTACACAGATTTTGATGCCAGCATTAATTGTGAATTAATGCATTATCTTTATATTATACAAAAATAACATGTACAGGCATTTTAATAGAGACTAGCAGTTGATGTAAAAGTTGCTAACAAACCTACAAAAAGAGGCAAATATGATTATGCTCAATTTTGCTTCTTTCTGGTATGTGTTTATTTAAGCTCTTGGTCTTCTTTATCGTGATGATTTCTGATGAAGATTTGAAATTTCCAGGGCATGAAATACTTCCTTCCTGGTCATGTTTAAAGCCTCAGCCACTGAGGATCTCGCTCAGGCTCTACTCCTACAAACCTTTCCACCTATACTCTACCTAAGCATTAATGAGTGTCTGTGCCTGTTACAAGTAGAGATTTTTTTTTTTCCACTACATTTAATTAAACTAATATAAATGTAGCAGGAGGGAAAATGAGAAGAGTTTGAAATGTTTGGGTTTTGGTTTTTTTCCTATTAGTCTTTCAGTTGTTTATAACATATTTCAGGGCAGGTAAAAGTTGCATGAGGCAAATTTTTTTTAAGCATAGTTTTAGGAAAAAAAATTAGACCTAAGCTATGAGTGATTTTTGGTAAGAATGAGAGACGTTTAACAGTACTTAATGGTGATTTGAAATATCTGCAGGTACTAATCAGTAACCGTTCGTTAAAACGAGTTGTTAAAATCAAGGACTGTTATTGTTTAACAAGTATTTCTTCTCATGGATATTAAGGCTTAATGGGCCCTAAAATGGGGAGAGGCGTACTTTGAGATGAACTGTAGCTTCTCTTGAATTTTCTTAAATAGGTCAAAATACTACATTTACAAAGACACGTATAAATATCATACCTTATCTGCCTTTTTCTTGATTGAGTGCTTTGTGTTGATTAAAAATAAGAATAATTTTAAAACCCCAATAGTCTTGAGTAGGTTAAATGCTTAGTCCCATTTTTTTTGCTTTGATGGGTCAGTAAAGTTCAGTGCATTGATGAAGTTCATAAAAATTGGCTTGGTTAAGTTGAATGGTAGTCTGCCCCCTCCTCTCCCTTCAGAAGTACAGTGTGTTGCTTCAGTAGGACATGTTAAACTTTCAAATCCAATTTATACTACTGTTGGAAAAATAAAATAATATAAATAATACAACAATAAGATAACCTTTGACATTTACTTCTGTACATTGATTTCCCATCATCTCCTATAGTTAATACACTGGGAGTTTGAAAGCTGATTTGTGGAGCTATGGTAACATTGACATTATGTTAACAATGGTTTGGTTTTCAGTGAATCTGAACAGAAGAAAGTATTAATAAATACGTACTAATTAAATTAAAGTATTAATAAGTTTTCAGTCTTTTTATTTCATCTATATTGAAACTGGGTTGATACTCTGTATTGTCCTTTTATTTTAGAAATTCTTTATTTTTCCCCTTTGCTCTGTAAAAATGCAGTGGTAAGAAGGATGTTATTTATTTGCTGCAGGATGATCAGCTTTATTTTTTGGAGCTGTATTAACTATATACTTAAATATAAGTTGTTGAATAGAACAGAGGCTTGTTGGGTGGAGGTTTGCTAATCTGTTTGCTCTATAACATTGCCATATGTGGCTCCTAGTGCAAACTTCTGTTTGGACACACTATTGAATTTTCCACTGATAGTATATTAGTGTAAGACAAAACAAAGGAAGTTACTTCTTTTACATAAATACTCATGAAAATTACTATGTTAGTATTACTCGGCTGGCTGACTTGTTTGGGCTAATGAGCTGATGTGAAGGTGTAGTAGTGGAGGAGGAGTCTGTAGTAGTAAAGGACAATTTTCTTTATTCCCCTTTTCAAAGCTGGCTATGTTATAGTGAATGTGTTTTCCTAAGTTGTAAATTAGGAAAGAATTAATTCATGCACCATGTAGAAAACATGGGATGTTCTGGCATGATTTTCTCTTGAGCTTGCATTACAACTATTCAAAAATTCTTACTACTATGAAAAGCCATTGGAAGTAATTACAATGTTTTATTATTATTATTATACAGAAATTATTTTGGGAGGGCTAGTTTCTGAGTAGTGAAAAATAGAGATATGTTTGAAGCTGTGTATGTGTAAGATTTATTTTCTCTTTTAAGAGTTATTTTGTTGTGGTTCTGTTTGAGAGAGGTTGGTCAGAACTCAACTAAAGGTACTAAGAAAAGTACAGGAAACCTCTTTGCTGTGAGGCTGGTTGAACACTGGCACAAGTTGCTGCAGAGGTTGGGGACTCTCCATCCTTGAAATTTTTCCAGACTCAACACAGTTCTGGGAAACCTGCTCTAGGGGACCCTGCTTGAGTAGGGAGTTGCATTTGGAAGGGATTGAGAATAGTCTCACTTTTCAGCTGACATAAATATGTCAGAGCCCTAATATATATAGGGATGTATAATATACAGGAATGTCTTCATCTACAAAAGTTGTATCATGAAGTGGGTTAAATTACTGTTTGTGGAGTGGAATGACATTTCTCGTGATCTTATTGCTGAATAGTTACTTTCTAATTAGTTTAGATTTATTGTACATCTTTGCAGATAAGGAACTGTGTTAACTATAAAAACACTTCCTAAATGTATAATATACTTTGTGTCTTGGATTATATTGAAGTTATGTTTTAAATGTGTGTTTCATAGTGCATAGAAACTTGCTAATGTAATTAACAGATTGTAGCACACAAAAACTTTTGGGACCAAAGTGTATGAGGCAATACAGAATTTTGTAATTGGCCAACTGCAATGAAGTCAAGTTTGAAGTTAACAAAAGCTGTTAATTAAAATCCTGCACTGAGTTGGTGACAGTTATTAATATCTTGTATTTAATTATATATTAAAACCAAACAAAACTAAAGCTGCATTGCAAAAATACTTCAAAACACCTTGAAAAATATTGACATTTGGTAATTACGCTATTTGAATTATCCAATGATTAGTCTTCACAGGAGTGAGAAAATGGTTCAATATTCATTAATCTGGACATACCTGTTGGCAGGTACACTATGTAAAGCAAGGTATGTGTCATCCATTGAAGAATAATTTATTTACTAGCTGTTAAATATTTATGCTTCTTTCTCTTCCAGAGTGTTCACTGAGGATGTATGGCTCCTGCTTAACTAGATTTGCTTTTAAGACCAGTGATGTTAACATTGATATAAAATTCCCCCCTAAGGTAAGTAGATATTATCTCATATTAACTAAGAATGGTTTTTATCTCAGGTCCATCAACACTTATTTCTCCTGCCTTGCCTTTGTTTTCTAATGGGGCGTAGGGTGTTAGAATAGCACAGAGCATATAATCTGATTTTGTGTCAGATGTGCTATGAATCAAGTGGATAAAAGTTTTAGTTGATTATTAGATAAGTTTAATTCTGTTTTTTCGGACAATCTTATAATAGCTTTTTTTTTATTTTTTGAGTAAACATTGAAGCAATATGAAAATAGTTGGCTCTGGATAAGTGTGCTTTTAAGTGCTTATGATTCAGGCAATAAATTCTTGTAGGTCTTTGTTCCCTCCCCCTCAAGGTAGGGCTAAAGTGACAATTTTCCTTTTAGGTTTTAGTCATTTGCAATTAGATGTCACATCCCAGTTTTCCGTGGCACCAAATTCCTACAGAGCAGTGTAACTTAACTTTAAACATTGATTGTTGGTTCATGTTTATTACGTGAGATTAGCAGCACGTTTGTGTTAGAGCCATAACTGCTGAACTTGCTCTTTTTTTGCCTATATGTGCTCCAGTGGAATTTGAGGTATGCGTTTTGGGTACATACTTACACATAACATTGAGAAATAAGATTGCAGTTAGGAAGCAAAACTGAGCCCTTTTTCAAACAATTGCATGGGGAGTGTACCATGTCACTTTTCCACAAAGGTGGTCCTAATTTTTAGCTTTTCATTGAACTATTTACAGCTTGTCTTTGAAACACCACTTGAATTGATTTCTGGGGAGAAAAGAAAACACATTTAAAAATTACAACCTTTAAAAACCCTTGGGAAAGTACCGACGTTAAATTCTTTACTGTTTTGCATTTCTAGTGTACGTTGATATTGGAATTGTTGGATGTATGGCAAAGTATTTTGTTTTAACTTTATGAAGTCTGTTAATACGCAACTAGAACAGAAGTATTAATTAAAAAAACTGGCCCATATGTTTATTAATACCTTTTTTTTATGGTGTGGACAGATGCAGTTAACTTTTTCATTAATACTGACACATGATTTCTCTTTTGTGAAAGAACATAGTGTTACTAGTTGCGCAACCTGAGTAGTTCTAAATGAAATGTAAAATAACATAGGTTAGTCTGAATAATGTAACCTGCTCTAATTCTGTCATTTTAGATGAGTCAACCAGACGTTCTGATACAGGTGCTTGAGATCCTGAAGAACAGCGGTGAGTTTTAGTTGCACCTCATTTCTATTTAATTAACGTTCCAACTGCTCTTCAGTTGTTTTCATTCTTAATTTTTCTGTAACCTTACGAAAATGGATTAGTTTTCAACCAAAATATCTGAGCTGCTCTTATGAATGTGATTTTTATAAATACCAGTGCTTGCGTAAGTGAGAGATGAGAACCTGCAGCTGGAGGGTGGCAGCGCAGGAAGTCCAGTTCATATCGCCGCAGTTATGGTAACAGTGTGAGATACCAGCTCAAAAAGTATTGAACTTTGTAGGGGAAATTCCAAGCAGCAAACCCAGCAGTCAGTTTTCCACTTGCAGATGAATGTCAGTGAGAACTATTACAAGACTTCTGAAAGTTGTAGCCTCCTTGATCTGTCAGGAAGTCATCTAACCCTGTAATCCACACCTCTTGAACCAAGTGATGCAAATAGCATTGCAGTTTTTGATCCTTCAAGAAGTTTTGATAGGTCACCTCCGTAAGTGGTTCTTATGCTATCCTCATGGTTTGTCAGAGATTTCAACCTTGAGTCTTTCAAGTCTTGTAAAGACAAAAAGTTTCTAGAAGAGATGCCAGCCCAGTTTCCTCACAGGGATTATTCTTGGTTTTTTTTTTTTTCCTGCTGGCTGTGTCATACTGGTGGTTATGTTTGATGCTCACCAGAAAATACTGCTTAGTGGTTAGCTAAGCAGCACTTAATTTGACTTGTTCTGTAAAAGTGTGGTATAAATGTAATAGTTTTAAAGACATAATTGGGAAAACTGTAAAAGATGTTCATGCATATTTTTTTTTCTCCTTGCTTAGCTGTCTACTCAGATGTGGAATCGGATTTCCATGCCAAAGTTCCTGTTGTCTTTTGCAAAGATGTTAAAAGGTACATGTCATTGAAAAGGATTTTTAATGAGATACCAGTTGCTACTATGTGTGTATAACAGCTGCTTGCCTGCAATCCTGACAAGAAGTATTACTGTAACATTTAGCTAACATCCCTGTTAAAGGGGAATTGCTCATTCTCAAAAGTACAGTCTAGAAAGAAAGCTTAGCTTTGATTTTGTGCTTCATAGAGCTCATTAGTTGTAGGAGTCTGAAAATGCCAGTTCTACTTTTAGTTAAATACGGGAAAAGTGGAATGATTTTCAGTTGATATTAAAAATTTCTGCCAGTGGTTTAATCCAAAGCTGTAAAAATATTTTATAAGATACACATTACCAGTAAGGACGCATCATCTGACAGCTCCAGTGAATTCCTAAGAAGTAGCAACCTCTAAAATGAAACAGGCTTATTGTATGATGCCCTCATTGTTTTGACTGGCTAGAGGTATGTGATTGAAACTCTGGGGAAATAAATGCAGCAAGGGTGGGCATATCTTTTCCTGTGTTCGTAGACCATGCGAATGCCTTGTAAGTACTAAGAGAATAGAAATAATTATTCTGAGAAACAAATGGAAAGTTTTTAGAGAAGCTGTTTTGTGGACTTACCAGCTCTTAACATGCAGCTGGCCTGGGGGCGGTTGTTGATTTATTTATTTATTTGGTATGTGGAAGATACACACGGAGTTTGAGTTGTGTAAGATTGCACAATTAAGTAAAAGCAGAACTTGGAGCAAGTGCTTAATGCTGTTTAATATTTTTAGCTGTAATGAACTTCTGTAAGTTCTAGATCCAACTGATGAGTTAATAGTAAATAAAATATAATTAGATTCTGTAGCTTCTGTTTAAAAAGTTCAGGTTCGTACATAAGGAGACACTGATGCAGATTTTTTGTTACGGTGGAAGTGATGCCCCAGCCTCCCCCCTGCCCCAAGCATCATCTGTATACACAAGACAATAACTCTTTTTTTTCTGGTTTACATTTGTAATTACAGTGGTTTGACATGCAAAGTAAGCGCTAGAAACGACGTGGCTTGCCTTACGACTGACCTGCTGGCTGCTCTTGGTAAACTGGAGCCTGTCCTTATTCCCTTGGTTTTGGCTTTCCGCTACTGGGCTAGAGTAAGTTTATAAATATTGAGGAGTATTAGATATGCTTATTTCCTCTTTTTAAGTACTGTGTACAATGTAATGTATAATATCCCACAAATATGTTTGTAGAAAAGAACTTCGTGCCACTAGTTCACCTCTTACTAAACAGACAGAATGAGATTGAAGATACTCATGTGAAACTGTAGATATATATGAAGCTTCCACTATTCTGTTAGCAAGCTATTATAGTAGTTCCTTAAAACTAGTTAATTGATCCTTGAAAAACTTCTCAGCTGGGCTCTCGGGTCTTGCAAACTTTGTGCTATTGAGGTCACAGTGAAAGAAATTAACTTGCTCAAAGAAGGGTGTGTTGTCACACCCTGCTGTACTTCTTACAGGCATCAATGGTGGTCACAGGAACCAAGTTACAGTGTTCACCACCTTTGTGGTGGTGAACCTAACTGTCTTTTCACTCAGTCCTGGAGCTGCTGCCAGGCCATACTTGTCATGTCTTGGCTTTTCTGAAAAATCAGTTGCATGGTATTACTGTTGTTGCTTGATTTAGCAAATTGGTTTTACAAAAGAATCCTGGCTTACAACATACAACTAGCAGCAGTAGAAACTATAAAGAACTGCTTAAAGTCTAATATGTTTATTACATCTCTCTTGAGTTCCCATAAAGGCATCAGTATCAGGTAACAGCCAGATGCTTAGAATCCCCGTCTGCATACGTGAGAGATTGCACGATACCAAAAGCCTGATAGTTGACTGAAATTCTAGATAGGAACATCAATGTGTTCCACAATCACAAAATGGGGTGAAACTGAAGAGAATAACTTAAGGCACTCTAAAAATTACTATAATTTGCATTTTGTCTGTAAGTGGCATGGCATGACAACTGCAGGTTCTGAGATAAAGGATCTTCTGTTTCACTCTAGTATGCATCACATTTCTTTAATACTGGTCCTTTTATAGTAGATTTTAAATTTAAATGCTGATGCTGTATCAGAAAAGTAATGATTTATTCTCTTACAGCTCTGTCACATTGACTGTCAGGCTGAAGGTGGGATTCCCTCATATTCCTTTGCCTTAATGGTGATATTTTTCCTTCAACAAAGAAAACCACGTATTTTACCATCCTATTTGGGCAACTGGGTAAGTGCTTTGGTAATATAATAACCTTATTTTTAAATTGTTGACATTGTTTCTGTGTTCTGCAAGGCTGTAAAATGTGCAGAACTTGATTGCCTAAGAAATTAGTAAATAAAACACATTGGTACTTAATCCTCGCACAGTTGATGCCCTGATGATTCTGATGACTTTTTAAAAAAGGCAGCTGCTATAGCCTGTGTGATTGTGCCATGCCTTTGAAGAAAAGGCAATTATTTTCTTCTTTAATTCTCTGAATTTATTTCTCTGATAGTAGTTATTCTTGAGGGGGGATAAATATCAGTGTCACTGTTAGCACTGCTGAAAACTTTTTGTTGTATATATTATATACGGTCTTGTTTCAAAGCTACTTTAATTGTTGTTAGATTGAAGGCTTTGATTCAAAGAGGCCAGATGACCACCAGCTGAAAGGGATAGAGGAAGAGGAGTTTGTACGGTGGGAGTACAAGCCACCAACAAATGGTGCAGCAAAGAACTCAGTTGGAGCAGAGAGTAAAACTAAAGTTGAACAACAGAAAGGTGGTGGTAAAAAGGTAACAAGCTCGGAAGCAGACAACCAAAGTAATACAAAGGAGAAACACGGCAAGGTAAGTCATGGCTTTATTTCATTGAAAACCATGTTCTCTCTCTCACCGCTTTTTTTTAATGTTGAAACGTCAATACTGGATGGAACTAGGAAAAAAATGGGAAATTTAATTCCTTATTGCAGTTGAGCATTCTTGTCCATGTGTTTCAGTCTCTCTTAGCATTCAAAACCCCTCACCAAGTTTCACTGGGGCAACTGTGGTTAGAACTGTTGAAGTTTTACACACTGGAATTTGCTTTGGAGGAATATGTCATCAGCATACGGGTACAAGAACTCTTAACCAGAGAGAATAAAAACTGGCCTAAAAGGCGAATAGCCATTGAAGGTAGGATAATCCCCTTTTCTAGTTCTTTAATCGTCCTGCATTATTATCTCTATTTGCCTAATACTTTCAGGTCTGTCACAAGAAGTTTGGACAATAAATTAAATCAATAATTGGAAGAGAAAGTAACTTTTTTTTTTTTTCCATATTTTGTCAGCTGTTTAGTCTGTTTAAATCAAAATTTTTTGTTTAATACTACTTTTTGCAACTCCGGTCCCTGAAGTACAAAATGTGATTTTGTCTTACTATTTTTTCCCATTCGGTTCTCATCTCTATCTATTTCATTCTTTCTATAAGCTATTATTAATTCCTTTTTAATAATTCTGATATGGATTTCCAGCACCTCTAGCTGCATTTCCAAAAAACCACAATGCATTTTGAGCATTACCAGCTTTGTTTGTTTCCTCTGATGCAGACTGAGCAGAGAGGTTGGCTCTGATCAGAGTGAAGTGGAGCAAACCCACCAAAGTAACACACACACACACACACGACACCCCCCAGCCCTCTCCCAGCACCTTCCCTTGTCCCTTTCCCTGTTGGCAGCATTTCCATCCTGTGGAACTGAATGTCATGTTGTAGGCTGTGCTTCAGGGCCTGAATATCCTGCCAAGGGAAGGGCTTTTTTCAGAGAGTGAGACCATGTGAATTTGATGATAATACGCATCCTGAGTTAATGTAAGTGGGGGAGAGAAAGAAAAAAAATTATTTTGTCTGTTACTTTTTTATAACGTTTTCAGAGAGTGAGACCATGTAAATTTGATGATAATACACACCCTGAGTTAATGTTAAGTGGGGGAGAGAAAGAAAGAAAATTATTTTGTCTGTTACTTTTTTATAACTGGAAGATATCTTTTTTTCTGTTCCTCAGCTCAGAAAAAAAATCTAAATAATACTTAACAGAGAAAGTCACAGAGCAATGTATGCATTCTGAATTGGCCTTAAGGAGTGAGAAATGGGCATTTGAGAAAGGTTAAGAAAGCATTTTAGTTGATACTTTTTATAAAAGCATAAATAATGAATTTTGGACACTTTCTAGAGATGTTGATGAAATAGCTTTTCTGTGACATACATGAGGTAAGGGAAAGGACAAGGAGAAATGGAGAATCATAAAGGGGAGGGACTCTTTATGAGGGAGTGTGGCAATAGGATGAGGGGTGATGGTTTTAAATTGAAAGAGGGGAGATTTAGATTAGATACTAGAAAGAAATTCTTCACTGTGAGGGTGGTGAGACACTGGCACAGGTTGCCCAGAGAAGCTGTGGCTGCCCCATCCCTGGAGGGGTTCAAGGCCAGGCTGGATGGGGCTTTGAGCAACCTGGTCTGGTGGGAGGTGTCCCTGCCCAGGGCAGGGGGTTGGAACTAGATGATCTTTAAGGTCCTTCCACCTCTAACCATTCTATGATAAAGACAGAGAATGAGTTACTAAACGTATATTGAAGGACGAGTGAGTAAGATAAAGGGCAAGAAGGAAAAGTAAAAAGAAAAACAAGCCATGAAATACTGAGGCACATTTTGAATAGTGGGTCTTGAGATCACTCCTGTGACTTTAATTTCCTCTCCTTTTCTTCAATCACTTTTAGCTAGAGAGTTTTAAAACTAGAGTAGTATCTATTGAGCATGTGGGAGACTATAACCTGTAAGATGAAAGGGCAAATTACTGAGGAAGAAACAGGAAATGCTTTCAAAAAACAGATGGCATTCTGGTTCTGATACCTGCTGTTGTTGGTCTTTTTGTGTTTTGTTTGTTTGTTCTATCATTTTTTGTTTTTCAGTTTTGCTTTTGTTTTTTTTTCTTAATGTTAAGTTTGTAACTGAAGTTAATGAAGTAACAGAATCTCAGTTTGATGCTATCTTCCCAGGCAAACTTATAGCAACTATGCAAGTGCTCTTTTTACTTGGAAAACATGTTTGATCTAGAAATCGCTAGGAAGGACTAAGAATGAAACCTGGTGAGATTGGTTCATATAATCCTTATAACCTTAATGTTACTCTTAGAGAAATTAATTTCTTAAGCGAAATGCAAATCCTCCTTCAGTGAAGGAAAAAAGTTCAGGCAGGCCTGCATTTATTTTGCCTTTGTATGTTTATTTTCATTTCTAGTTTAGAAATTAATCATAATATAATGGTACAATAATACCTGTGGTTTTCTTTTTAAATAACACTATTTAAAATGGTTTATGATAGCCTACCATTCATGGCTCACACGTGTGTTGTGTTTTGTATGGAAGAAGTCCAAAAAACCTTATGGGCCCTATGTTCTCTAAGTATATCCAAACACAATTCTGGATTATATTATCAGAATCTCTTTTTAACTGCCGTATCATAACTTAGGTATTTCAGCTGGTTTAGTGAAATGTAGAAATTAAAGATTACTAGTGAAATTGGTTGTTTGTTTTTTTTTTTCTTTCTAGATCCTTTTGCACTAAAGAGGAATGTTGCACGAAGTCTAAATAGCCAGATGGTATTTGAGTACATCCTGGAGCGATTTAGGACAGCGTATAAATATTTTGCATGTCCACAAAGTAAAGATGGGATTAAATCCAAGCCAGATACCAAGAAAAAAGAAAAAGGGAAAATGAATAATAAGAAATCCACGAGATCTGAAGAGCCTGTACCCAACTGTTGCCTTCCACAAGGGGAGAAAGCTGTAGATAAACAAAATATAGGAAGTGGATGTAACATACCAGAGAATGAACTTGAATGTAATGAGGTGGTAGAAGCAGTAGCCAAAAGATGTACTTCCAAGAACGTAGACTCTTTGCTACTTTCAACATTGGACTCTAGTTACGATGAAGACAAAGAAGAAGCTTCATCCCTTGTTTCTAATGAATGCTGTGAATTAAAGCAAAAATCACTTAAAGAGAGGGATGATTTAGAAATTTCAGTTTGCATAGCTGAAGGTGAGCTAAGCCACCATTGTAACTGCGGTGAACATCAGCCCTATGACGCAAATTCTAGTAACGAGTTTTCTGATGCTGAAAGCAGACTGAGTTTGGCAACAGAGTCTTCTCAGAAGAGTAAGTGCACTGGCACACCAGCTACCTCGCCCAACTGCAAAGCAACGGTGGAAGCTCACGATCTCAAAGATGAAGGCAGACTCTCTACAGAAGAAATGCATTATGTGTTTGATAAGTTTATTTTGACTTCAGGAAAGGTAAGCTGTGTATTTAAGCAGTGCTGGTTATGTAACAGTGGGCTATTACTTTTCAATCACCAAAACTAAGGGTGGAAGGATGACGGGATTCCCCCAGGAATTGTTTCAGTCTCTGTTATGAATGAAAGGCTCCAGCCTTTTATTTAGGATGAGAAAACACCAAACCCGTATGCCATTTGGACTAGATGGTCTGCTGCCCCCATATTATGCACAGCTTTCTGATTTACACACACACACACACACACACACATATGAAAGTCCTAGGTTTTGGTTTTTTGTTTTGTGGGGTTTTTTTTTCCCCCTCACCTTCCTCTCCTACTTTCTTCTGGAATTTCCAGGTGCTCTTACGCACTCTGAGAACTAAATGCAGCCTGTTGAGAAGTGTTTTTCTGTTCTTTGTAGAGACTGTTACTGTTGTTATCTTAAATGTTCTTGGTTGCATGACTTACATTGAAATGTTAGGTCTGTTGAACTATCTGAAAAGTAAAATTGCATTTCTGCACTTTTTTTAAATTTTTTTCCCAAAAGCCACCAACTATAGTATGCAGCATCTGCAAACGGGATGGACATTCCAAAAATGACTGCCCAGAGGATTTCAAGAAAATTGATCTAAAACCACTACCGCCAATGACAGACAGATTTCGGGAAATACTTGATATAGTGTGTAAAAGATGTTTTGGTAAGTTGGAAAACTGTTTGTACTCCACCATAAGCTGTGATCTGTAATCTGGAAAAAATGACTGTCAGGATCCAGTATATTCAATGGGAAGAGCTCTTTCAGGTACAAATTAATCAGTATTTTTATTTTCACATAGTCCATGGTTGTGATATCAAATTCTTATAACAGATTTGAGAAACTAGTGTTCCCAGTAGTTAGGCTCTGGGCAAAACTAGTTTGTGAGTTTGTCAAATGCCATGGCTTCTTTTGGTAAAAGTCCTTTTTGGGGCTTTTGGGTGCTGTGGTGGGTTAACCTGGGCTGGATGCCAGGTGCCTGCCAAGCTGCTCTGTGGTTGAATAACCGCAGAAAAATCAGGAGTCTGGAATAAAATCCTAATAACTCTAATGATATAAAAGAGAAAAACACATATTGAAGAAAAGTAGATGTAACAAAAATGGAAAAAAAAGGTATCCACTACGTTTAATTAGCTGAGAGATTTTTGAGGTAGCTGAATGTTGCATCTGACTGTGTTTTAACTTCTTTTTACTTAGATGAATTATCTCCTCCTTTATCTGAGCAACAAAACAGAGAACAAATTCTGGCAAGTTTGGAAAGATTTATTCGAAAAGAGTACAATGGTATGTAACAGTAGGTAGTGATTCTTGATAAGGCTGTCTTCATTCATGTTGTCCAGAGCGTGAAGATGTCATTTGTCTCATTATTGCTCATTTTCTTTGCTTAAAGCAGTGGCATCTCTCTTCCCTCTGTATTTAAACCTATCTTGCAGACTTATAAACTGAACATCCCTCAGTGCTATTGCATGGAAACGTCCCTAGAGTGGAGGAAGAGCTGCAAGAGAATAATGCAGATACAGGACTGTTGCAGTCAGGACAAAAAGAAAGTTTGAATGGGCCCTGGCCAGTTGGGTTTAGTGTTACCTGGGTCGTGGGCCAAGTACTTTTGTTGCCTCGTCACCAGCGTTTAAGTATCTTGGAAATCCTAATGAGTTTGTTATCTTCACATCCCTTTTCTAAAATAGGCCAAAGTATCTTGCTACAGTGATGGAAGTCAAGGCACAGAGATGCCAAGTGATTTTTTTTTTTTTGAGGTGTTGTAAATCAGTGCTAGAGCCAGGTCCCAAACCCAGGTCTCCTGAATTGCAGTCCGTTGCTTTACCCAGAAGGGCATCAGTTCTGCTGCAACTGGCCTGTGGTCAAGGAGCTGGGAATTCCACTTCCAGGCACCAGCTGCACTCTCCACTTACTGGCAGCAGCTGAGGATTGAGACCTGTTACAGAATCTTAAAAGACTTTAGATTTCCAATTCTATTAAAGGTCAGGAAAAAGCTGTGAATAGGGGTTTTATATATTTTCCTAGCATTTATTTCAGCTGAACAGGTAAATGTATTTTTTTCAATTAGAAAGAAATTGCTGCTTCTGAGTTACACAATTTGACTTTCCTTTACAAGAATTAAAATAGTTATAATATTTTGTTTCAAACAAAAATGTAAACAAAACAACTGGGAAAGAATGTTCCATAAAGTATATTAATCTTATTGCTTATGTCTTCTTGAACAGTATGTTATGGTTACAGAAACTTACTGATTGACAGAATTTACCTAGTCCCTGGAAAAATATGCAATCAAGATAAAGTATGAGTGGAACGAGAAATATTGCTTGGACTGCACTGAGAGTAGCTCTGTCCTGTCTGGGGTAAAGCTGTACTGGTGACTGGGTTTGCACACTATTTTGATGTATTTAGAACAGGAAAGTGCAGTCACATACCACAAAACATTGCAGCACATTTAGAGATGCTACTTAATGGTTATAGTAACTCTGTAACATACCTCACTCATAAAAATTACGTGGGATTTATCTTCCCTTACTTTCTATGAATAATTTTTAAAGTATTATGCTTCCTCCTTTATCAAAGGTGAAGTGTTAGAGGTGACGTGAGCTCTCTCTTAAAGTTGATTTTTTTATGGGCAGCTGCACATCTCAGTCAAGTAATATTCCATAGTAAGCACTTACCATTCAACTGTAAAAGAATTTATCTTTTGATCTACTCTTTTGATCAGACAAAGCCAGACTTTGCTTGTTTGGCTCTTCAAAGAATGGGTTTGGATTTCGGGACAGTGATCTAGATATCTGCATGACGTTGGAAGGCCATGAAAATGCAGAGGTAAGAGTTTAGAAATTGATAAAATCTACTATTTTAAGTTGAAGAATTAAGGTTTTTTTTATTCAGTTATCTTTTCTGTGTACAGAAATTTTAAGATTTTGCTGGTAGCACATGGGCTTGTTGCACTCTGCACATATGAAGCAAGATGCAGCCTATTTTACTTTTAATGCTCTATAGACACACATTTAGTGGACTGTAGATGTCCACATAGAGAATACGGGTCACCAGTTTACATGTGGAGGGCCACGAAAATGATCAGAGGGCTGGAGCACCTCTCCTACGAAGACAGGCTGAGAGAATTGGAGTCGTTCAGCCCAGAGAAGAGAAGAGAAGGCTCCAGGGAGACATTGTACCTGAAGGGCGTCCAGGAGACATGGGGAGGGACTCGGTATCAGGGAGTAGATTGATAGGGTAAGGGGTAATGGTTTTAAATTGAAAGAGGGGAGATTTAGATTAGATACTAGAAAGAAATTCTTAACTGTGAGGGTGGTGAGACACTGGAACAGGTTGCCCAGAGAAGCTGCAGCTGCCCCATCCCTGGAGGGGTTCAAGGCCAGGCTGGATGGGGTCTTGAGCAACCTGGTCTGGTGGGAGGTGTCCCTGCCCATGGCAGGGGGGTTGGAACTAGATGATCTTTAAGATCCCTTCCAACTCTAACCATTCTGTGATACTATGATGCTATGTGCTGGTTTATTCCTTACTTCTTTTTGTACGTAGCATTTTCCTCTAGGAGATACATGTTTGATAGTAAGTGTTGGGATAGAGTCTATGTTTTAACGTCTGAAGCTGTCATATTTGTTTTTCCTAGAAATTAAACTGTAAAGAAATAATAGAAGGTTTGGCAAAAGTTCTTAAGAAGCATCCAGGTAGGTGTTTTAAAGTAGTATTTGTTTTTTATTTACATTTACTGTATACGTAGTTAATGGAAATGTTTTATGTACTAAAGTGTTGCTTCTCCAGGTTTGAGAAACATCTTGCCTATAACCACAGCCAAAGTGCCTATAGTAAAATTTGAACACAGACGAAGTGGATTAGAAGGAGACATCAGTTTATACAATACACTGGTAAGCGTCTGTTTGTGTTCAAAGAAAGCTTTTTAATTCATTGTAACTCACTCAAATAATAATTTGAGGAAATAATTTTGAAACAAGAATTGAAATGCTTTTGTGTGTTTGTGGTTTTTTTCTATTTTATTTAAATTTGGTGGCCCACACCCTCAGCCCAAGCTAAGTAGCTGTATAACCTCACGGCACACAAAGCATTTTTGTGAATGCTCCTGAAAAGCTGTTAGTGCCACGTTCACCATGACCTTTCTGCATTGTGAATAGGACATCTCATCCCAGCTTACATCTAACGTGATGAAATTACACAATTTCTTATGTAATGGGCTCACATTCATCCCTGAAGAAGATGTGGTTTGTGGAATTTGTTACATTTTACAAACTTTGCTGGTGTTTTCTGAGGTTCTCCTTGTTGTTATTGCATTCATAGTGTCCTTATTACACCTTTCAGTTATGTTTGGGCAGGAAATGTTGCATGAATTTTATGGAATATTGTTGTGGTTTTTTGCCCTCCAATTGTATTACACATCACTTGTGCTTGAACTGCAGATAAATTGCATCGAAACACCTGTTTGATCATTTTCTTTTCTCCCCCACCCAGGCACAGCATAACACAAGAATGCTGGCCACATATGCAGCTATTGATCCTAGAGTGCAGTATCTGGGCTATACAATGAAAGTTTTTGCAAAGGTAATATAAAAAGAAGGTACTTACTTGTATAATACAGTCTTTTCTGATACAGTCACCAAGTTTACCTTTTGCTAACACCGACTGGAAAATACGCAGTAGAATGCTGTTAATACAAAGTGCACTTTCTTAAGCTGACTATGCCTATACATTCTTCATTATACAATAATGAGTCTTAATTTTTTTTCTAGCATTGCATACTACTGTATACATTCTAAAAATCTTATTGTAAAGACTAGGTTTCCAAATTGGCAAGCATAAACTCTTGAATGTATTGTGTATGGAGGTGACTTCATAGCTATACAAATACTCTGTGTTTAAGCAAAATCCTTCCTCCTCTGTTTGCATGGGTGGAAAAACCAGGAACAGCTGTTGCTGCTGCTGATGTCAAAGTAATTCACAAATTACTTTGTCTTTACTATGTCTTTTACAGACCTAGGAGGTTTAAAATGTGTTGTTTATTATCTCACAAGCTTGAAGCAAAGGGTAGCTTCGAAGCAGGTGCTGTAGAAAGGTTATACTGTGATAAGATTTTCAAGGATAGTAAGGTAATTCACTAATGTTTGTTTTATGCTGTGTTATGTGGGCTGGACCGTGGTTTAATTAGATAGGTGTATGTATGGCTAGCAAAATGGCAGGTATTGCCTAAGTTGCCAGTATGACATGGAAATGCTTGCCTATTAATTAATTAAAAACTGAAGCAATAAGGAATCATAGAAACAGCTCTAGTAACATGATTTTAGGATAATTGCACAATATTAAAACCTGGACATCAGATGTAGAGGTTTATTGGGATTTCTGGTTTGGGGTTTTTGATATTTTTTTTTTCAGTTTTGCACATTGTAAACAAAAAAAAATATTTTGACTATGAAAAGCTTTTCTGGTTTTATGTTAGTCAATTTATGTTGTGGGTTTGCCAGATGGCACTTGACTCTAAGGACATTTGGTTTTCAGGCTTCAGAAACCAATTTTTAGTTGAGATTAATGTATTTTCTGTTACTGATGCGGTTCTGATTACTCTCTCGGATCTTTGTTCGCCTTAATAAAATGGAAATTAAATATTTTGTTTAAAATGTACTTTTTCAGCGCTGCGACATTGGTGATGCATCCCGTGGCAGTCTGTCCTCGTATGCCTATATTCTCATGGTTTTGTACTTTCTACAACAGAGAAATCCACCTGTTATTCCAGTTCTTCAGGAGGTAGGTTTTGAGAAAAAGGCTGTGAAAATAGATGCACTGTTTCTTCAAGCCAAATATGAGAATTCTGGGCTTTTAGGATCAGGGGAATGAATGAAATATGGGGCCCTTCTGTGTTAACGGGTTCCTAACTCCTGCTTGGTTTTAGTGGGTAAAACTTAACCAAGAAAATGACAACAAAATCATCAATCTTTTGACCTAAGTCCTGCTGTTATATTTATTCTGCCATTTTGGTCTTACGATGATATTTATATGCTGAACAGAATAGAAAAAAAAAGGCAGGTGGTACGGAGAGAAGGGAATTGTAATTATGAGACTGCACCAGATGCTCTTGAGATGTGAGTCCAGCTCTTCCATCAGTTATTGTCAGAAACAATATTTATTGCTCAACACCTTTTCTGTAAGAGAAAAAGTTTATTTTATGATTTGATGAGGGGGGGGAAAAAAGATACCTCATGCTTTGGTACAATTTTAAAGATGCTATTTTACACGTGCCAGGAAACTTTATTAAGAAAATAATGTTGTGTACCTCCATTGCATGTGTGTGGAGAATATAATTAGTCAGCTATTTACCTCTTCCTGGATACACGCTGGAACTCCCAAGCACTTCTGAAAATTACCCCTTTCTGACTTTTTTGTTTTCTGCATACAAGAGGAAAATTGGCTTAAGCACTGCAGTTGAGACTCAGACTTTCTTGCTGATACTTTACTGGTGGTTGGGGATTATTATTTTATTGCTACCCTGAGAGTGCATTTAAATAACAGTGGAATTTCCCCTTGGCTTTGCTAAAGTCAAAATGTAATAGGAGTCATGTAAAGTCTCCTTAGAGATTTTTGTGGGCAAGAGAAATGTTGGAATCTTGATGAGGTAATTCAGTCATGTTTTCTTAGTTGCAATGAACAAGTAAAAATAAAATATCCAAATAATTGGAGAGGCATAGCAGTAATGCAAAAAGATATTTACCAATGGGAAATTCTGCCTATATAAGAAGTAATTGTTAAAATTACAAGATGTATATTTTTGTGCTATTTCTTGGCAGCAAAACTACAAGTCTTTTATGGTGACTTTGAATTGGAGTGGTAACCGTGGCCTTTTCTGTTTTGGCAGATATTTGATGGAAAACAGATTCCACAAAGAATGGTGGATGGATGGAATGCCTTTTTCTTTGATGACATGGAAGAATTGGTAATATTCTAATTCCAGAAGACTCACTAAAACTTAACACTTTTTAATAAAGTAATATATTTCTAGCAGTGTAAAATATAAATGAGTAGTTAAATTTCCATATCTGTATTATTGTAACTTCCCAAATGAGTCATGTTTTGCTGAAATTCAAAGTGTCTGCTTTTTCTTGGCTTATTTTAAATCATTTCTAAGTAATATAAATCAGGAAAAATAACTTCACTCTTAATAAACAGTCCAGGATTGAGGTAGTGTTAGCTGTAGTGATTTAACCTTACTTTAACCAAATGAAACTGCTCGTGGTAGACAAACTCATAAATAGGTAGTTCAGGAGAAGTCCTTCAGTAACTGTACCTGTATGAGTGATGTCTTCAATTGCCTGCAGAAGAAACGTCTGCCTTCTCTTGGGAAGAACACTGAATCACTCGGAGAGCTCTGGCTGGGGTTGCTGCGATTCTACACTGAAGAATTTGACTTCAAGGAATATGTGATCAGCATCCGGCAGAAGAAGCTGTTGACTACATTTGAGAAACAGTGGACATCCAAATGTATTGCCATCGAAGGTACTTACCTTCCATTAATGAGGGACTGATGAATGCTGTTACTCGGGGATCTGTTTTCCTTGTTGCACAGGATCTTTATGTGAGGAAATATCAATGTTTAAAAAAAGCATTGTTTGCAAGGCCTACGGCTTACAAAATGAGATTAGTCTCCTGACTTTTAGGATACATCAGTAAATTGCTCTTACTTTATTATGGTTAGTCACATATTTTTAAAACACACAGCATTGCTTTGCTGTCATCTACTCTGTGAGTACATATAAGATGGGATACTCTGTGTTAAAATAAAAATTCTTATTGCAGCACTCTTTTTCCAAGTCTAATTTGATTTCCCCCCTTCTTTACACAGATCCTTTTGACTTGAATCATAATCTCGGTGCTGGAGTCTCTAGGAAAAGTAAGCTGTTAATGTCTACTAATGATTAATATTTGCTGATTTCTAAAGTGGTTTTGCTTTTGCTGTTGTTTTCCAATAACTTTGTCTTTCTTCAATAGTGACCAATTTCATAATGAAGGCATTTATCAATGGGAGAAAATTATTTGGTACCCCATTCTACCCAACTGTTGGAAGAGAAGCTGTAAGTTTTCCAGTTTTAATATGTTTTTTATGTTTCTTCATCCACTGAATTGATGCATCCAGAGCAAATGGCTTATATATAGTTAGCAATTTGGTATGCGCAATATATGTAATTACACATCATCTGCATAAAATGTGCAGCTTAGTATTGGGTTCCTGAGTTTTTTCTGAGTTTATATAAAAATGTTCTTTGATGAAGTGACTGTGTTCTTGTTTGCGCTGTGCCTAATAAAATAGGACTTGTTTTTATCGGGACTTTTAAGTGCTATTCTGATGCAAATAATAATGAGTTACAACGTGGGCATAGTTGTCTATAACTGACAAATACGTGAGCATAGGTAATAAATATCATTGCTAATGAGTTTAGGTTCATTTAATTGTTTGCATACATGTTCAATACAAGGCTATAGCACTTCTGGAAAGCATGTACTGTGTGTTTGTGTTCTGCCTCATCTCAGATTGTCACTGAACATTTTACGTAAGGATAAAAAGCAGGACAGAAAGCAGCCTTAGTATGCAAATGAGCTGTCTCTTATGTGAAGGAAATAATGCCAATAGTATGACATAGCATTTTTTATCTCCAAAGTGCCCAACAGAGGAAGAGTTTTTGGATCTCCTTCCTAAGCCAGTGCCCTGTATGGGCAGCAGCGTGGTACAGAGAGGAAACTGTAGCGAAAAGCTTCAGTAAATACCTACGTCTACAGTAGGACTTTGTTCTAGCTGCGGTTAGAACATTTCTATTTATGCCTCTATTTCAGTCTTTCAGGCAAGATAAGCACTTTCACAATGTTTATGTTGCTCAGAGGCTGTAAACTGTGGCCTTTGTGCTGACACGCACCAGAACTGCAGCTGTCCTTAGCAAATTCCGGGAGAGGGGAGGGATACGGGTCAGCCTGCAGATGCTCCATCTGTTTCCCACCTGAGCTTTATTCTCTCCAGGAGGATTTAATCATGTCATTTGGGAAGGGACATGGGCTGCTTCGGAAAGCATACAGGCAGTGACTCAGATACCAAAATAGATCTTATGCAAAAAATTGCTCTCTGAAGAGCCTTTGGGGAAGTGGAAGGTAGGCAGCAGGCTGGAGCCTGGTTAAGCTGCTCTGCAAATTCAGCCTCTGGCCCTAAGACTAGATACCCCATTTCATGCCAAATTGCTCCACATCTCTGAAAAAGCTGCCATTATCTAGGGGAAGAAAAGGAATAGGTACAATCTAAGCAGCAGTAAAATTTAGGGAACAATAGGAGATGAAAGCTGTCCGTTTTGCTTTCATTCCTAAGTCTTCGAAGTGAGTGGTTTATATATTGTCTCTGTCTGATGTGTTTTGATAGGAATACTTTTTTGACTCAAAAGTGCTGACAGATGGGGAATTGGCACCCAATGACAGATGTTGTCGTGTCTGTGGAAAAATTGGTCATTACATGAAAGACTGTCCAAAGAGGAGGAGGTAAGTAATATACAAAGCTAACATAAAATCTTTGAGATTAAATCAGGAGAAGGATTTCAATATTTGAAATTTTAAGGAAAATGAAGAATATGCTGAGTTGCAGAGAAAATCAAGGCTTCGTTTCTGATCTTCAACTCCCCATCCTGTTTTTGCTTTTCTTAGGACTACTTCTGGTCTACTTTTTAAATTGTAGAGTGTTTATGCAGGCACACGTAGACTAAAATCAACAGTCTGTAATATGTTACCACTTCTGCTTCATTACCTTAAAATTTATATCACTGAATTATCTTTTTATAGCGTAAATATTCAGATTGAGATCATATAACCTGACTGCACCATTTGTAACATATTAAACTGGATTTCCTGTAGTGATCATGTTTGGAAGACAGTGATGAATTTGAATTATTCTGTAGATCTGATAACGTACCTCTGCAAGGCAGGTAAAAGTTGATTTATTAAAATCTAGGAGTAGTTAAAATGTACATAGTTAACATGCATTTCTGTAACATCTTACCAGTTCCAGTCACTTGGGGATCTTGCACTTGTACATTAATTACACTTAGGAGTTTTGAATCCAATGCTCCTGCAAAAGGAGTCCTTATTACATGCAGGACAATGTCTCCAAAGAGAGACTCTTCAGAGTAGGAATCTTCAGAGAATGTGCACTCCCCACATTTTTACGTCTTTGGATTTGTAATGACCCACTTTGTGTAGGTTGTCTGACTCTGCCTAAAACCTGTTGAAAGGCAGATTAAAGCCTGGACTTTTTCACTTATTCCTTATGTTCACTTGTGTACTCTGTAATTCTCCAAAAGATTCTTGATCTCTTCCTGTTACAAAGTCCATATTTACAGCCTTTTATTCAGTCAACAGAGTTCAAGATAGATGAAACTGGACTGGGACCTGAGGTCACAGGTTGACTATTTCTTTCAGTCACTCCCTTAACATACTCCTCATAAGCACTAGCACATGGAATTGCGTCACCTCTTTCCCTACATCTGCCTTAGGAAAAGAAGTTGAGACCTGCTCTTCATAGAAACTGCTACCACAGCACAGCTACACAGAATCTCTCTCAAATTGTGCATACAGCTCACAAAATAGTGTTAGTTTTTAACAATCCTACAGATATATGGGAAAAGACCTTTATTTCTTGTCTTGATTCCTGATCACTAGTTCTTCTCCTGTTTGTTGTATTGATTTTGAGTGTTTGGAAGAGCTCGGTGCTTTCTTTCACATCCTGCCGAGGCTCAGGATGCTGATGTACAGAGAAATGTGCTACAAGATACAGCTAATTTGTTTTGTGTATGTTCTGACTCCAGAATTGTTGCACAGAACTACTCCCAAACTAACTGGCAGGCTAAGCCTACCTAACTGCAGGTATAGTTCCGTGCTAATACAGTCAGACAGTTTCAGGACAATTATGGGGATCTTCGAAGTTCATAAAGTTTATGCAAACAGGTTGTTAAACAGCCCAGGTTCTGCAAGGCTTTTTCTGGGATTCTGAAGATATTTGTATTCTGGTCCAGCTGTTGGTTGTGTAACCATTCCCTTTGTACATCCTAATATAACAACTCTATAGAGATTTTAATTTTTTTGTGGCTTTGTGATACTGCTAATAAAAATTATTATTCAGGTTGAAGAAAAAGGAGAATGAAAAAGATGATGAAAAAGAAGTGAAAGAAGATGATAGAGAAACAAGAGAGAAAAGGTGTTTCATCTGTGGGGATGTGGGTCACGTTAGAAGAGATTGTCCTGAATTCAAACAAACCCGTCAGAGAAATAATAGTGTGCCAGGTAAGTTAATTTATGTATTGTTAGTATAATTTGGAAGTTCTGAGATCCCTTCTCTCTAGGTTTCTATACAGACCTGGTAGTTATCTTAAAAAAATGTCTGCAGCTAATGATTTTGGTCATTGGAAATACAGCTTTTTCGCTTAAGTGTTGATTTTCTTCAAGGGGAGTAATGCCTCCTGAAGTACAGTCTTTGCACGGGTGATAAAAATGTACTCGGCAGTAAGTATAGTGTACTTCAGGGGACTGTATTATTTGTATTTCAGTCACAATGGGTGCATTTAGGAGTAGTAATAATTGTAATAATTGAATGCATTTCCTCTTCCAAATGTTTCTTAAATGTTAGCTAACCCTCCATCATCTGTGAGAGGTAAGTAAATGTATTTTCACCAAAAATCAGTAGTTTTAAAGTAACACTTCCAAAAGCATACAGACGTGTTAGGAAGCTAGATCCAGCTTTCAAATTACTGTTAGCAATTGGAGACAAGTCTAATTGCAAAACCATTCAAATTAGGCCCTTAGGTGCCTGTGGTACTTGAAAAAGTAGAGAAAAACAATCATAAGTTAACTTCAGAGAGAACCTTGCTGCTTTTGTATATTCTGATATCCTTCACACTCTTTTTTTCTTTCCTTCCTTCTGCTGTTGCTATTTAAAATCCCATTGCTTACAACAATAGCGTGGAAACCTGTATAAAGTAGTGCTCCTGCTTGGTAGCAAAGTGAGCTTTGTTCATGCTTGAATTTGTGTTACTCAGATTTCGGATTTAGCTGCTCTAGCTGTTAATTTTTGCTATTACCGGTAGAGGGAAAGCTTTCAATTTAAAGGGGAGGTTAAAGTGATTTATCTAAAATGTGTCACTTTAGAGTTAGGTATCGCTGAGTCCCAGTTCTGTGTTCATTATTCTGTCATCCATAACCTTGTGATTTTTATTAACACACTTGTTCCTTGATTAGGCACCCAGTTGGTCCGGAGCATGGTAAATTCACAGCTGGTGGCTGTGAGTCAGCAGCAGGTGGAACGACCCTTGCGCACTAGGCAGTCATCAGAATGTGTAAGTTCCAATTAGCAATAGTATTGAAGTAAGCAAGCTGTAGCAAACAAACAATCTTGGGCCGTGCTAGGAACAGGTTTGCAAGGGTTTTTCTCAACAAATTCTGGACTTTATAATGACAGCCTTGCACTCTGCCAGTTAGTGAAACTTGGATTTATAATGTCGTGCCTCTTGGAGAGCATTTATGGTCTTTCAATGTGGAAACTGTGTAGTTAGATCTCTTCTTTTGAGATAGCTTGCAATTCTGAAAGGCCAGCTTCACTATCTCTGATATTTAAGCTAGGATGACTTTTGAAGTCTTGCGCTTAGTTATTCTGGCAATCTTCTGGAGTTACTAAGGGAAATAAAGCATAGTTTATCGTTAACATGCTGCAGGCTTTGGTTTGTGACTGTCATGATTCTCTTGTGGTTTAAGAGAACTGTCTTAAGGGACTGTCATGAACAGGCAGGAACACATACAAGTCATACTTCAGATGTGATACACAGGGGAAAACTCTGCCAGAGCACACTAGAAGCACAAACCGAACAATGGAGAAATATTTGATGGCTTTCTCATAGAATTTGTTCAAGTCTTTATAGAACTAGATAAAGTATGTTTAATCTGCTTCTAAGTGGAGATGGATAGCAGAGGGTATTTGAGCAAATACAGCTGGTGGCATTTAACATTTTTTGAATACATAATACAGCAGAAATTCATTAATTTTAAGCTGTTAGTCTGGGAAACATGTGCCCGCTAATGAAGCTGGCAAATGAGCAAACATAGTGATCACTGTGCGCTTTGTTCAGTTTCCTACTTTGTTGATCAGTCAGGACATATTCTATATCCAGGCATTTATTGGAATACTCCAGTAACACAGACTTTATGACATCATTTTTCCTATCATATTTTGCTGCTCAGGGGGAACTGACACAGCCCTAATGTCACTGAGCTGCCACCATGCTGTCACAAGAAGCAGGAGTATCTTTTTAGGAGCCTTGTGCTTCTGCTTGGGGAAATGGAAGCTGTGCCTGTGGGTGTACACACATACACACACTGGGCCTACTGCATGTGCCCAGTCTTCTGTCATCTGGATGCTCCTGGAGACTGTGTGTGTGTTGCATCGTTCTCATTTGGCCAGGATTTCTTGGGGAATATGTGCTGTCTGGGGATTGTTTGAGGAGAATGGGAAGGGGGAATGTTAGTGGAGCAAGAGGGAGAGAAAAGGGAAAGCGAGGGTGTGGAAGCAGACCAAGAGGCTGGAGCTTAACGTTTCTCCTCTCCTGCTGCTGGCGTGTCCAGTGCATGCCTGTGGTGGTTTATTGTTTGCAGGAAATCTGTAGTCGGTGCACGTGCTCTATTTTTGTAACATTTAAACTGTTAAACTAGTCGTTGTCTTTCAAGTCCCAGGTTTTACCAGCTCTTCCTGGTTTGATAGAAAGGCATAGGAGGCAGTCCTACAGGAACAGTTGGAATAGCAGCAGGGAGCCATCCCAGCACCTTGGGCTTCAGCTTTTGCCAGGCAAAGGCACACAGCGTGCTGCTGCTGTAGGGAATGCTCTGAAAGGCTGGCGTGGGCAAGTCCTGCAGACCTCTGGTTATTGAAGAAAAGTGACTGCCAATTTAAACAGACAGGCGAGCAGTCATGGCTAGTGACAAGCTGCAGAGATCTTTAACTTCAGGTGTCTGACAGCAGCTGGGTTCCTTAGAGCTTAGCTGTCTGCTGCAGTCTGTGGAGGGTGACAAGGAACTCCAGGGGGAGGCTGAGATCTGAGATGCAGGTAATCATCTCCAGTTTAGATATCTGTCACTTCAGTTTCTCTTTGGTGGCACCTATCATATGCCATTGTCTCAGTGCTTAAAACCAGATGAGGTTAATCCAGGCATTGGTAATAAATTTTGGCAGACAAACTGGGGAACTCCCCAGTTACTGGAGTGCTTCTCTGCTTGGTTACAATACCAAACGCCTCTTTCTGTTGCTGGTGAAAGGGAAAGCTTTATAATTGCTCTGGAGTGTCTTTAATAATTGCTGTTTCTGTGACTTCAGCCATGGCCTAACATCAGGATATGGAGGTTGAAACTGGGTTTTTGGGTTTCAATTTCTTGTTTAACAGATTAAATAAAAATTAAAGAAGTATTAGGAGATTGCTTTGGAATGACTTTAAAAAGTGTCTGTAGTAATAAGAACCACTCTATTCAGAAGTAAGGTAATTAGTTAATGAGAATCTGGGCTGCAAATAAGTAGGGTGGGGAAGACATGGATTAAAAATCGGGAACAGATGTCTGAGGAGTCTAATGAAGAGCTTGGGGCTAATGTTGCTCAGAATGTTTCTGGTGGTGGGGATGGGCCACATTAACAGGCCAGACTATCTGATGGTGAAAATCAGTGTCAGTCCAACTGCACTTTTTTAAACTAGCAGGAATTTGGGCGCAGTATCTGGGGTGGGGAATGCTTTGCCTTTTTAAAGAAGAACACCATTTAGTCTCTCGTGAACTAATCAGAAATACATACTTTTTTTTTCCCCTCCAGTCTGATTCGCATCAGTCATCTTACTCTCCACAACCTCAACAATTTACACAGAATTCCTCTCAGCCAGCCTCCATTAACCAGACTCAGCCACAACCAATATCCCAGTCTAAGCACGTTCCGCAACCGCAGCAGGGTGCGCAGCCACCCCATCAGGTCCAGCTGCCTTTGTTTAACTTTCCCCAATCTCCCCCAGGTCAGTATTCCACCTTGCATAACCTGGGACTACTTCAGATGCACCATCACCACCAAATTCAGCTTCCCAACACTTCTTGGCCTATTCACGGGCCCGTTATTCACTCTGCACCGGGTAACCCTCCTCATTCTACAAATGTTCCATTTTCTATGAGATCTGGCAGCAGCAGCACCGCAAATAACCAGAGCAGTGTAAGCTTGAATGATCCCAGTATCATCTTTGCACAGCCTGCTGCCAGGCCCATGGGAATCCCCAGCACTTCTCATGAGGGACACTGGCACAATCCCGTGACTCCAAACTCACTGGTGAACAATGGCACTGTGGGGAATTCAGGTAACTCTTCTCTGTTGTATCAAACCTCTCGCACTTTGTGTACAAACGTTAAGTGTTACAGGAACAGCTAACTCTTTCAAAACTCGTTTTACATTAAAAAATACGATGCTTTAGGAACAGCTAACTCTTTGAACTCGTTTTACATTAAAAAATACGATGCTTAAGAAACTGAAGTCATTACTTCCACTGTCTTAACGTTTTCATAGGAAAAAAAGATAAAAATAGGCGAGTTGGATTGTTGTAACTTTCAGACATCGGTGTTTTCATAGGAAAAAAAAAATAAAAATAGGGGAGTTGGATTGTTGTAACTTTCAGACATCGGTCCTGTCTGCTGTTACCAGCTGTGCAACACATGAGAAATCATGCATTCAATTGAGAAATGTTCCAATAATTGTGTGAGTCTAATGCACATTTCTGTGAATATGCTTCCAAATACAGTTTCAATTTATGTTATGTAGTTTTTTAGATGAGTACTGAGACTGCAACTGCAAGCTTAGAGACTGGCAGAATTATGGTTGTGCAACCTGAATATTGCCCACTTGCATTTAGCACGATATGACATGATCTTATGCATTCTTTTTTCCTATAGTTTATCCTGCCATGTTTACCTTCCTTAATCTCGATGTTATTCCCTGAAAATAACTCATATACATTCTCTCTGCAACAATTGGGCAACAGCCTTCTGTGTCCTACCAAAGCTGAGGACGTTTGTATGTTTGAGGCTGAGAGAAGCAGTGTAGTAATTAAAGCCCATACAATTTTTCTGTGCAACATAAAACATGGCCGCCCCTACATTTTAATTGTGATCTTCTAAATTGTGATAATTGTCTTTTTATTTATTCTGAGTGTGTAACTCTTACATTTAAAAAAATCTGTCATACAATATGCTGGTGCAGTTGTGCATCACGAGGTGGAAATTTTGTATCTCCTGCACAGCCTTTCTCTGCACTAATATAAGGCGATTGACAGCAACAGTAGATTTTCAGCTGAACCAACAGTGTTGGATGAGGTATAATTCCCCAGTGAGTTTCAGATAGTTGTTGAGGTGCTGAAGATGCCTGTTTCTCTATTCAGAGCTTTGTGGGGAGTGTATTTTAGAGGATCCAGAAACTGCTACCATTGTGCTCTCTGTGCCTTCAGTGTGTTTTGTCCCTGCCTCTCTGTTTCTGATCTTAAATCTCTGTCTGGGCTTGTCTGTCCTCTCCTCCATGTCCACATCAGCTCTGACTTTTTCTCAAGCAGCTCCTTCCATTCCAATTCATCTTACCCAGGAAGCTGCCTTCTTTCAGACAAGCTCCCCGCATCCTTGTTTCTGTTCCATTCTCCCTTAATGAGTCCTGTTTCTTATCCTGGAGTCACTCGGCCCCTGTCTTCAGTCCTTTTCCTTTTGCTCTCGGTGTGTTTGCTTCCACTCTCATCATGCCTGCACAGGTTTCCCAGTTTTCTTGTGCTGTCAGTCATGGTATTATTTTCCCTTCCCTCAACTTCCATCTATTTCCAGTCTCATCACACTCCTTTTTTTTTTTACTTTCCAATCCTGGTATTTTTCCTCTTTGTATTTTAATCACTTTTGTTTCCTTTTTGGCTGAGATGCCATTGAGGTGGGGTCTACAGGTAGGTGCACAGTAGGGATGAACTGTCTGCTCTCTGTTGGACGTCTGCTTTCTTTCTTGCTTGGGACAATTTGGGAGCAGTAAGTTAATGGAAGCTTTGTCTTGGCTCACATAACTTTTGAGTTGGAAGGAGCAATTTTACTGTCTTTGCAGTAGGCAATTGATCAGAAGAAGGATCATTAGAAGTTTCAGACAAACAACTTCTTTTTCATGCTTAGTCCAGAGCCATGCTTCGTGTTTCACTGTGTAAAAGTTACTGTTGTTTTTAAATATATAGCTTGCTTTTATTTAATGAAAATCTGTCTGCAAGTTTGGGTTTTTTTATGATGAGCCTGAAGGGGAACTGAAATATTGAGGAGAGTTACTTAAATTTATTTACTTATTTTTACATGTACATTGCATAAGTTGTTAAATTAAGCAGACAGTGCTGTGTCTTATAAAATTGGGAACTACAAAAAAAAAAAAGAGAGCAGAAATAGTAACATAGTGTTTAGTGTCAACTGTTGTGTGTCCTGTCTCCTTGGATGCTTGATTTCTCATCCTTATTGCTGCACTAATACTGGATTTGTAAATGGAACAGCTTTCGATTTATGTGCGTATTTTGAAAAGTTTTAATTTGTCTCTCTAAAAAAACAATTTTAAATTGGTCCGATGATCTGTGTGTCGAGTTTCTTAAGCATACAGGTATTAGTGGAATCCCAGTGTACAGCTGAGAATTACTTCCTGCCGTAGGATAATAGCTTTCATGTCGCAGCTACGTCAGTGATAGTGAATATCTGTGTGGAGTCAGATACTAGTTATGTTGTTCAGACCTTGTATTTTTCATCATGAGAATGACATAGGAATAGTGAAATTGTAGGTCTTGATATTAATACTGATTCATCCTCTGTCTTCCCCCCTCCCGTTAAATTCTATTACAGTGAATAATGGAGTAATTTAGGTGATAATTTTTATGGATGTATATTTTAAAAAAAGTAATAAAAGAGTAGCCCATCAGACTAATCGCATTAAGTGCCCCGCAAACTGTTATTTAAGATGTGAATTGTGTTTGTGACTTGCTGTTTAATTATTTCAACTTGCCAATGTGCTTTTCCCTTTCAATTGAAAAATAGATCAGGGTTTCCAAGGACAGTTTGGTAAAATGAACCCTCCTTCTGTCCCTTGGGACCATGGGACCCCTACCCATTTTCCTCTCCTCCGAGGAGCGTGGCCTATTATGGTTGTGCAACCTGAATATTGCCCACTTGCATTTAGCACGATATGACATGATCTTATGCATTCTTTTTTCCTATAGTTTATCCTGCCATGTTTACCTTCCTTAATCTCGATGTTATTCCCTGAAAATAACTCATATACATTCTCTCTGCAACAATTGGGCAACAGCCTTCTGTGTCCTACCAAAGCTGAGGACGTTTGTATGTTTGAGGCTGAGAGAAGCAGTGTAGTAATTAAAGCCCATACAATTTTTCTGTGCAACATAAAACATGGCCGCCCCTACATTTTAATTGTGATCTTCTAAATTGTGATAATTGTCTTTTTATTTATTCTGAGTGTGTAACTCTTACATTTAAAAAAATCTGTCATACAATATGCTGGTGCAGTTGTGCATCACGAGGTGGAAATTTTGTATCTCCTGCACAGCCTTTCTCTGCACTAATATAAGGCGATTGACAGCAACAGTAGATTTTCAGCTGAACCAACAGTGTTGGATGAGGTATAATTCCCCAGTGAGTTTCAGATAGTTGTTGAGGTGCTGAAGATGCCTGTTTCTCTATTCAGAGCTTTGTGGGGAGTGTATTTTAGAGGATCCAGAAACTGCTACCATTGTGCTCTCTGTGCCTTCAGTGTGTTTTGTCCCTGCCTCTCTGTTTCTGATCTTAAATCTCTGTCTGGGCTTGTCTGTCCTCTCCTCCATGTCCACATCAGCTCTGACTTTTTCTCAAGCAGCTCCTTCCATTCCAATTCATATGTTTTAGAGGATCCAGAGACTGCTACCAGTGTGCTCTCTGACTTCTTCTCAAGCAGCTCCTTCCATTCCAATTCATCTTACCCAGGAAGCTGCCTTCTTTCAGACAAGCTCCCCGCATCCTTGTTTCTGTTCCATTCTCCCTTAATGAGTCCTGTTTCTTATCCTGGAGTCACTCGGCCCCTGTCTTCAGTCCTTTTCCTTTTGCTCTCGGTGTGTTTGCTTCCACTCTCATCATGCCTGCACAGAAGGTTTCCCAGTTTTTTTGTGCTGTCAGTCATGGTATTATTTTCTCTTCCGTCAACTTCCATCTCTTTCCAGTCTCATTACACTCTTTTTTTTTTACTTTCCAATCCTAGTATTTTTCCTCTTTGTATTTTAATCACTTTGTTTCCCAGTTTTCTTGTGCTGTCAGTCATGGTATTATTTTCCCTTCCCTCAACTTCCATCTATTTCCAGTCTCATCACACTCCTTTTTTTTTTTACTTTCCAATCCTGGTATTTTTCCTCTTTGTATTTTAATCACTTTTGTTTCCTTTTTGGCTGAGATGCCATTGAGGTGGGGTCTACAGGTAGGTGCACAGTAGGGATGAACTGTCTGCTCTCTGTTGGACGTCTGCTTTCTTTCTTGCTTGGGACAATTTGGGAGCAGTAAGTTAATGGAAGCTTTGTCTTGGCTCACATAACTTTTGAGTTGGAAGGAGCAATTTTACTGTCTTTGCAGTAGACAATTGATCAGAAGAAGGATCATTAGAAGTTTCAGACAAACAACTTCTTTTTCATGCTTAGTCCAGAGCCATGCTTCGTGTTTCACTGTGTAAAAGTTACTGTTGTTTTTAAATATATAGCTTGCTTTTATTTAATGAAAATCTGTCTGCAAGTTTGGGTTTTTTTATGATGAGCCTGAAGGGGAACTGAAATATTGAGGAGAGTTACTTAAATTTATTTACTTATTTTTACATGTACATTGCATAAGTTGTTAAATTAAGCAGACAGTGCTGTGTCTTATAAAATTGGGAACTACAAAAAAAAAAAAGAGAGCAGAAATAGTAACATAGTGTTTAGTGTCAACTGTTGTGTGTCCTGTCTCCTTGGATGCTTGATTTCTCATCCTTATTGCTGCACTAATACTGGATTTGTAAATGGAACAGCTTTCGATTTATGTGCGTATTTTGAAAAGTTTTAATTTGTCTCTCTAAAAAAACAATTTTAAATTGGTCCGATGATCTGTGTGTCGAGTTTCTTAAGCATACAGGTGTTAGTGGAATCCCAGTGTACAGCTGAGAATTACTTCCTGCCGTAGGATAATAGCTTTCATGTCGCAGCTACGTCAGTGATAGTGAATATCTGTGTGGAGTCAGATACTAGTTATGTTGTTCAGACCTTGTATTTTTCATCATGAGAATGACATAGGAATAGTGAAATTGTAGGTCTTGATATTAATACTGATTCATCCTCTGTCTTCCCCCCTCCCGTTAAATTCTATTACAGTGAATAATGGAGTAATTTAGGTGATAATTTTTATGGATGTATATTTTAAAAAAAGTAATAAAAGAGTAGCCCATCAGACTAATCGCATTAAGTGCCCCGCAAACTGTTATTTAAGATGTGAATTGTGTTTGTGACTTGCTGTTTAATTATTTCAACTTGCCAATGTGCTTTTCCCTTTCAATTGAAAAATAGATCAGGGTTTCCAAGGACAGTTTGGTAAAATGAACCCTCCTTCTGTCCCTTGGGACCATGGGACCCCTACCCATTTTCCTCTCCTCCGAGGAGCGTGGCCTTACAATATGCCTCAGAACTACATGCAGCAGGGAAATGCCAGCTACCCACCGAACAAACCTTTCTACCCTCAAGGTACTAGAACTAGTTAATGAATCAAGAGCTCATGCAACATGTCTCTTTTGCTGTCTCGAAGGCTTTTAAAAGCCAAGGAATCGCGTTTCACTTTGCCAGGCTCCCTGGAACCGTAATGAATCCAAGAGTCAAATCCAACGCTTCGGCTTTATGTATGGATGGATGAAAATCGTTGTGGGAGGGAAGGGGTTCAATCAAATTGTGAAATCGGAGCTGATTTGCAGCCTGTTGCGCTTCTAACCTCTTTCTCCTTTGCTGCAGTCTCACTGTAGAGCCACCTCTACTTCAGTAGAGGGTTAGATGATTTGCCCATGAGTGTGTTGAGAATTTGAAGACGTTTTTGTTCTCATTAATTTTACTTGGCTTTTGTACCTTGCCTTGTGCAATGATTTTACATACAGAAAAACTTGCAAGACCCGTAGATAACTGAGGTTGAAGGGGCCTCTGGAGGTTGTCTAGTCCAACCCCTCTGCAGACAAAGAGGTCATAACTCCAGAGTTGGATCAGGTTGAGTTATTGGGGGTGCTTTGAAGGACTGGCTTTATCTCAGCTCTTCCTGATGCTGGCCAAGTGGTAAAGGTGTTAGGCATCCAGCAGGAGTGGGAGTGACTGTAGGGAACAATGCCTTTGGCTCCACTAAGAGAGAAACTATGCCCAAATTTTACTTGGAGGCTTTGCAGTTCGCGTGCTGCTGGATCACCCCATTTAAAATGAGAGATAGTGGCACCAAATCCTTTTTTTCAATATCTAAGCGTTTTGTTATAGCGAGGTTTCCTAGCGAGACCCTTATTGAAAAATCCTGAACTTATTTTTGTTCAGTAATTTCAAGTAATGTGACAAAATGATGATTCTGAGGGAATTTTGGAGATAGGATTCAAGTAGTACTGCATTGTCCTGTTAAATGGGTTAGTCGTACAGAGAGCATGTGTCAGTCTAGTAAATGGCTTTATTTCTAAGTAAGATTAATACATTGAATATAGCCAAGCACTGTCAAATATATTGAATTTGCTGAAGTAATTGTAATCCATTTTCTTTTAGCTGGTCCACTGATGCAGAATAACCAGCGGTTCTCGCTTCTGTCTCAAGGACACCCACACTTGAATCTGAATTACATTCAACAGAAAAAGTGAAATTTAATGGGTTTGTGGGTGGGTGGGGGGAGGGGAGGAAAAAATTCAGGTTCTGATTAAAAATCTTAATGCAACATGTTTAGATACAAGATTATTTAAGACTGTTTTTAAACTGTATCATTTGTACATAGATATGAACTATAGTTTTTACTAGTATCACAAAACTGAGTGATACAAATTTCATCTATTTTATTACCCTATTTTTAAGGGGAATTGTGTTTTGTTTTATCTTGATAAACTGTAAAGAGAGAGAATTTTTAAAATTAAGTTCTTTATTTTCTATTAGCTGTATTCATACTTTGGTTGCTTCAGACTTTATATATATTGTTCTAAAAAAATAAAATTAGAAGGGGATTTCATGTGTTTAAAAATTTGTCACTTCTATTCTTTACAGAACTATGTAGTGCCAAAAAAAACTTTTTAAAAAGAAAAATAAAACTTCAAAAAAAGGACACAAGACTTTTTCCTCTTCCCTATTTTTATGCATGCTTGCATTTAGCTGTAATTAGGAAACCAGAATAATAAAACCAGCTTTAATTTAGTTATCCTAAAGCAGAGAAGAAAGATGAGCAGCTTTAATGAGATGTACAGTCAGTATTGCTGTTTTTCCCTGTGCTGGTGCCGTTGCATGTGCTGGTTACAGCCAGTCTGTCTTTATTGTAAAATACTTGATCTGAGGGAAGAGCACACCTGCTTTTCTGTTCATGAACTTTGCAGAATAACATGAAAATACTCTAGAAACACCAGGCTGTTCTGTGAAGTAGCTGTAAAGAGCACCTTCCATATATTCACTTGACATCACTGTTTTCTGTGTTGTCAACACTCACCGGGCAACGCGTGAAGATATTTAAGCTGTAAATACAGCAATCAGTATTACCATTTTTCCCTGTGCTGGTGTCGTTGCATGTGCTGGTTATAGCCAGTCTGTCTTTATTGTAAAATACTTGATTTGAGGGAAGAGCACACCTGCTTTTCTGTTCATGAACTTTGCAAAATAATATGAAAATACTCTAGAAAAACCAGGCTGTTCTGTGAAGTAGCTTCCATAAATTCACTTGGCATCACTGTTTTCTGTGTTGTCAACACTCACTGGGCAACGCGTGAAGATATTTAAGCTGTAAATACAGTGTTCAGGGGACAGAACTGTCGGTCCCTATTCCCAAAGCAAGACTGTGAATAAAGGGGTGGTGCATAAGGGGTTTAACACAACATAAATTAATACATAATTAAGCGTACTAAGATGAGATCTGTCACTTCAGTAAGAGCTTAAATATTCCTAATTTGAAAAGCGGGGACCTGAAAGATCACCTGGCTCCCTCAGGTGGATTTGTGCACTTACAGGTTCCTCAGATGGTCTTGAACCTGATCTTCTACAGAGGGTGGTACCTCATTCTCCCAGTCCCTTCCGTGACTTGGGTGGTGTGGCTGGAGCACGTGCTCGTGAAGACTGAGACAAAAAGTCACTGAGTACCTCAGCCCCATCCATCTCCCAGGTACAGGTCTCCCCTTTCCTTCTGGAGAGGGCCTACATTTTCCCTGGTCTTCATTTTATCACTGACACACTTCTAGAAGCTTTTCTTGTTGCCCTTGACATCCCCTTTTCCCTAGTCTTCGTTTTATCACTGACACACTTCTAGAAGCAATTTTTGTTGCCCTTGACATCCCTGGCCAGATTTAACTCCATCTGGGCTTTAGCTTGCTGGTAACCTGATTGGTGAATATTAGCCAGCTTTCTTGGCCCCTTCTTCCCTCCAGGGCTTTATCACAAGCAGAAAATAATATGAAAATACTCTAGAAAAACCAGGCTGTTCTGTGAAGTAGCTTCCATAAATTCACTTGGCATCACTGTTTTCTGTGTTGTCAACACTCACTGGGCAACGCGTGAAGATATTTAAGCTGTAAATACAGTGTTCAGGGGACAGAACTGTCGGTCCCTATTCCCAAAGCAAGACTGTGAATAAAGGGGTGGTGCATAAGGGGTTTAACACAACATAAATTAATACATAATTAAGCGTACTAAGATGAGATCTGTCACTTCAGTAAGAGCTTAAATATTCCTAATTTGAAAAGCGGGGACCTGAAAGATCACCTGGCTCCCTCAGGTGGATTTGTGCACTTACAGGTTCCTCAGATGGTCTTGAACCTGATCTTCTACAGAGGGTGGTACCTCATTCTCCCAGTCCCTTCCGTGCCTTGGCTGGTGTGGCTGGAGCATGTGCTCATGAAGACCAAGACAAAAAGTCACTGAGTACCTCAGCCCCATCCATCTCCCAGGTACAGGTCTCCCCTTTCCTTCTGGAGAGGGCCTACATTTTCCCTGGTCTTCATTTTATCACTGACACACTTCTAGAAGCTTTTCTTGTTGCCCTTGACATCCCTGGCCAGATTTAACTCCATCTGGGCTTTAGCTTGCTGGTAACCTGATTGGTGAATATTAGCCAGCTTTCTTGGCCCCTTCTTCCCTCCAGGGCTTTATCACAAGCAGATCCCTGAAGTCTGCTCTACTAAAGTCCAAAACAGTGTCAGAACAACGTCCTGATTTGAGAACGAAGCCAGCTTTAGCTACAAGAGTCTAAACAAAGTATTGTCAAAGAAACAGCAAAGGAGCCTTTAAACAGCAAAAAACCCCCTTTAATTGTTCTTCACGAGTTTTTACAGGCCTTGAGAAAAACAGCTAAAAAACAATCCTCAAATTCTATCACAAGGATGAGTAACTCACTACATTGAAAGTATCCCTAGCTTTCTTTTAATTAAAAAAAAAAAAAAAAGAAAATAACAAAACCCAAACAGGATTTGTACAAGAGGAGAAGGATTAAAGAAAAGGACTGCTAAAGCAGCCAGTACGTATCCAGCTGTCCCGTAAAGCAAACCAAGGTCCTTAAACTGGGCACGGGATTCAGTCTGTTACTCATTCCCTCGCCGACTCTTCTTATGACTTTTCTTAGATCTGAAACAGAAAAAAAAAGCCATACCACACCATTACTAGTAATTGTTTTGAAAGAACAAAGTGATTTATAGCAGTTAAGTGGCGTTTTCTATGGTTAAAGATGGATGGTGTGACTTGATTACAGCAGTAAGGGAGGTACTGTATGAAATACTTGATCTCCAACATCTTTGCTCCCTGAGATTAAATAAAAAGATCTCCTACAGCAGGAAAGACACCCTTAAAAACACCCTTAAGACACCTTACCTTTCAGGTGATTTGGAATGACTTCTGTGTCTGTGACTGCGGTGATGCCCTGAGAGATAAAAAGGTAACAGTTACTTCCATAGACCTTGGAATTATCTGCTTCTAGTGACCAAGTGTCCTAGATAATGCCAGAACAACCTTACCCTTAACTAAGCACTGAAATTTACCTCCTGGCAAACACCTGAAAAATGTACTCAGGACAAATTTTGCACATATTAAAGGAGTCCTCCAGCTGTGCTTTCATGTAACAGTTTTATGAGCCAGATTAAGGACCTGTGATACCTTCTCGATACCATCACACTGATTTCCCTTGCAGCAGATGTTGTGCTGATAAAGACTTGCCAGAGTTAATCTGCAAGTGACAAAAATACCTGGAGATTTAGATCTTGATCTGTGGCGCCTCTCCCTGGATCTGCTCCGGTGTCGCCTTGGGCTCTTGCTGCGATGCCTCTCCCGGCGCGGTGATGGACTGAGAGAAAGGAAGCTTTTAAAGACAGTCTACTAAAAACACAACACATTTTAAGATTGAGTAATAGAGTAACAGCCTACCTTCTTCTCTTTGGAGAGCGGCTTCGCCTGTAATTGGGGGAGAAAACAAAAAGTTACTAAAAATCATTAGCAGAATGAGCTGTTTAATTTCCCATATTCTCCAGCAACAGCATTTCCCTTGCACTCCCCCATGCCCCCAGTTTGTGTTGCACAAGAGGCAGCACATGCTTCTGGACTGGCCCATACAGTGAGTAAATGAGGTCAGTGATGAGTTTTCCCTGGCTTATTAAGAACAATTAACGGGAAAACAAAGCACTTGGTTCTCCTTAACAGCTTCTCTGTATTGTCAAATTTAGTTCAAGTTGGTCAGCAAGTTCAAGAGTCACTGAAGGACTAGAGAAAGAGGCCGCTGGGTTGACCGTTGACCGTGGCTGTGCATTGCAATTCCTTCATTTAGAAGGTGCCTGAAGGAATTGGGAGGCCCAACAGATTCTGGCTGAATCATCACTTCTGTGCCTTGGGCCAGCCATCTGCAGGACAATAGGTAAAAATACTGCTCAAGAAGAGCCGTGTCACCTTCTGGGAGACCTGCTTCGGCTCCGCCTGTAGCGCACAACTGGAGATCTGCGGGGTTTATCGAGGTCTCTGTAGCCTCTTCTGCGGTGGTCAGGAGAGGGTACTCGCTCCAGCTGCAAACAATGGCCAGGGAAAAAAAGATTCTGTAAGTCTTGTTTCATCAAGGCTTTTATCTAGCAGTAAAAATTTCGGAACAATTCATATATAAATGACAAAAGTCATGAGATCAAAATTCCCCATCCTCAAGTATCACATACTCAGAAATTAAGTACAGCAGAATCAGCTACCATGGTCGTCATAACTTTCATTGTCACCTTTAGTTCTCTCCCATGTATATGTATTTAAATGTCTTTCACGTAAATTGTTTTAAGCAACACAGAACAAATCCAGATTTGTGAATTTCAGGAGGCAGAAAAGTTTGACAAACACATGGCACTTGAGAACTGCTTCAGGGTCTGACAAGTTCTCACAAACAGCTTACATGAAAATGGGAGGAGGGAGGAGACAGGGAGTTTCAAGCAGCCTCCTCAGGCCTTCCCTCAAATATCTCTCACAGGCCATAAATATTCTGCAGTTCAGTACCGACTCTAACTACCCCTTACCAAAATACTTCACCAACCTTTTCATCTTCTTCCTCCTCCTCCTCACTAGATTCTACATCGTCCATGTCTTCTTCCAAAGCACTAACACGAGGCTCAAGTTGCTCAGCTTCTTCCAGAACATAACGTTTCTAAGAGAAATTACAACTATTTTACGTAACCCAAGTAAGAATGAACACCTAAGGACACATCTCATGTGGCAAAAGCTTTATGCAACAAGCCAGTAGCTGATACAACTACTGAATGTGATGCAGTTAAGAATGTAGCAGCCATCTACTTTGCCAAACCTGTAATCGAGGCAGAATGATATCGCATACGCGCTCCTCGTGGAGTAGTTCATCAATAAATTCGTCCACGTGCATCAATTCAAATTCTGGGGGGTAAAAACACCATTGAAAAGACAAAGAAGACTAATGCGGTTGGAGTAAATATTAAATACTTCAGACTATTTATGTCAAGTGGAGTGGACAAACAACCATTCTAAACTCATTCTTGAAGATAAGGAAAATCACTAGGCCTCCCTTGTAAAAAGAGGAAATTACTGCACAGCTAAGATTAGATTAGATTCACAGTGCTTAAACCAGCACTCAAACAGTGTTTCTTTGGCATTTGTGGAACTGCATTTCAGTACCCAAGAGAAAACACAAGCACTTGGGGAAAACAAAATAAGCAAAGCAGTTCTCGTTTGTACAAGTCAACAAGACCAGCAACCAACTATCTAAACGATGATTATATAAAAGGTTTCAAAAAGAGGTTATGCCACAATCTTTCAAGCTTGTAACTAAATAATAGAATATTTGCTTTTATCTAGCGTGACACGTTTTTTTAACAGAAGGTCACCTATGAGGTACTAAGAAACCACAGCTTCATGAGAGGGCTTACCCCCATTTCTGTTCTGACTCTTTATTTTTCGGTAGTCGTTGTAGAGCGGCTCAAGGTACTTGTAGCAGTCAATGGCAGTGCCCGTCAATCTCATGTACAGCGCGCCAAGCATTCGGACGTACCTGAAAAGAAAGCCTCTTTGTGCATCTGATGTTTTTACATAGTTAGCAGTTTAGATAAATGAGGCGTTTTTCCTAGAAGTTTTTGCAGAAAATCAGTACACTAATTAGAATAAAATAAATAGAATACATGACCATTTAGATTTTCTCCAAATACTCAAGCGTACATATGTAAAATATATATATATACACTCAAGTATACATATATAATCACTGTGTGGGTGCACTGTCACTCACAGAGAAAAAAGAAATACTGGGGGGGGAAATAATAGGTTAATATTGTTCCCTTAATACACTTCGTTGCAAATATTTCAGAGAGAAGGGTGTTACCACAAAGAAAACACACTGCAAAGGCAAGCCATTCCACCAGCCCCAGTGATGAGGGCAGTGATCTTTTGGAAGCAAGAGGAAGGACAGGCTTTTTAGCAAGAAGAGACTGTCAAGGCCCACTAAAAGCTAAACCCTGCACTGAGGTTCCCCAGGCTGCTTTCACAGAATCATAGAATGGGTTGGGTTGGAAGGGACCTTAAAGATCATCGAATTCCAACCCCGATGGGCAGGGACACCTCCCACCAGACCAGGTTGCTCCAAGCCCCATCCAGCCTGGCCTTGAACCCCTCCAGGGATGGGGCATCCACAGCTTCTCTGGGCAACCCGTTCCTGTTGGTCGGTTTCATTCAGTCCGACAACCGAAATGATGAGAAATAAATAAAAAAATCAAGCTACCAACTTACTTGAAGTCCTCGTTCTTTATGAACTCCACGATGATGTCCTTTTCGGGCTGGATCTGCAGCATCTTCAGCGTCAAGCACAAGAAGGGGGTCGGCTTTATGTTCCCGCCGTAGACGCCCCCCACGTACCTCAGCTCCATGGCCTTGTCCACCACCAGCTCGGCTGGAAGAGGGACAGGACGGGACGGGCCGTCAGCACCGGCTCCTCCCCGAGCCCCCCGCCCAGCCCGCTCCCGCCATACCCGTCAGGCCGAAGCACTCCTCCTTCCAGTACTTGGACTCGTAGATGCGGGTGCGGATGATCTTCTCCACCAAGTACTGCGGGTTGGTGCCGTGGATGCTGTGCGCGTCCTTCACCGTCCGGTTCGCCATGGTCCCCCCCTCAGCTCCGCGGCGGGCCCCCCCGCTCCCTTTCCGTGAGGCGGCCGCAGCACCTTCCGCTTCCGGGCCGCCGCCGCCGCCATCTTATCTCCTCACCGTCACATCCCGTTCCGCTCGCGCGGCTTCGGGGCGCCAGGTTCAAACATGGCGCTGGGGGCGCCGCGGCTTCTCCTCGCCCCTCCCCGATCCCCGCGCGCCCGCGCGCAAGCCTGAGGGGGTGGGGCTCCGCGTGGGCTTTGGCGCGAAATTCTATGCTGGGGCTTGGCAGGAGCTCGCGCTGCTGCTGCTACTGACGCCGCCGCCGGTGCGCGAGGGGTTCTCTGAGGCGCGGGGGTGAGTGGGCCCCGGGCCCGCCGTCCCTGAGGGGAGCGGGAGCGGCCGCGGTGTCCCAGTCCCGGCGGTGGTGGTGGCCCACCCGGGGCGGGGAAGGGGTCCCCGAGGCGGAGATCTGCCCAAAGTCGCCTGTACCGATGGGCTTGGGGTGGATGAGGGGGGAACGGCCCTGGCGGGCGGGAGGGGGACCCGTCTTCCTGACCCCTGTGGGTTGTTACCAGAGGGAAAGGTTCTTACTCAGGGAAACGAAGCAAAACCATACAAATGGAGCGTGAGTGAAAAGCGTGTGGCCGCAGGGAGGGCTGGACCCAAACCAGGCTGGGCGCTGTCCTAAAGCCGCCGGCTGGACGTGGAAAGAAAATGGGATTAAAGAACAATGCGCTACTAAACATCTTCCCTTTTCCTTCCTCGCCTCGGGAGAGGCGTTTGGAGGCTTTGGGGAGGGAAAGTGGGCTTCTCTGAGTCCGTTCTTCCTACAGGCTGAAAGTACTGATGGCTTTTCTCTGTATCTGGCCATCTCCTCGCTTTTATTTCTAAATAATATTTTTATTAAAAAATTATTTGTCTGTCTGCTTGTTTTAGATTTTCCTTGGGAATCATGAACACCCGGCAGCAGAGCAGAATTATCTACTCCTGGTATGGACAAGCCACGAACTCGGACAGAAAGCTGAGAACGTTGCAGTACAAGTAAGTAGCGCTAATTTATGGCTTGCTCAGGGAAACTTAACAAAGGTTTCTTTGCCTTCCTGACCTTGTTTATGTTGATGTGGCAGGCACTGAGAATGCCAGTAATGTTTTGAGCATTGTGTGGTGACACTCTGTGCGTTTAATGAAAATGTTACAGAGCTCTTGAGTTACAAATTATGTAGCGTCTAGACAAAACATTTAATGAAATCTGCAAATAAGCATTAAATGTCTACTTGAAATATATACGAAAGCTTTTAATCAGGAAATTCAGTTGTAGGCTTTGCAAGAGGGAGCATAACTAGCTGTAAGATTGACAGGCCATCAGCTTTAATGGTATGTGAATTATAAAGAATGTGAAATCCTGCTAATCGGTACGTGTACGTCGCTTTCTAGGGGAATCATCATTAAATCAGAAAGAAGCAGAACAGAAACCTGTGTACAACTCGGCGATTTTATTTTAGTAGAAGGGGAGAATGCAGATCAACCTTTTGTGGCACAGCTCCTGGATTTATATGAAGATGGTAAGAAAAACAAAAATTTACCTCCTTTCTGAAAAATCCTAAAATACCTATTTCATGGGGATGTATTAACTCATAACCTCATATCGCTGGCCTAATTTATTAAGTAAATTAGGCTTTGCATACTGCATCTGTATTCACACATTCCCAAAATATTTGGGGCTAATGGCTCATTTAAATTAGATAAACAGAGAGTTTAAAGACATTAAATTTTTATAACCTTTTTGCTTAGTTGTCTGATTTAAAAGAAGTGGTCCTTGAAGAAGACAGTGTGAACTCATGCTTTATTTAGAGATGGGAAAATCCAAATGGAGCAAGAGCCCTGCAACCCTGGCACTTGCATCTTATTAGCCAGCAGGGAATTTAGCAACAAGGTGCAAGGCTGAATAAATGAGGCTTGTTTTTTCTGTCCTTTGTAGAACTCTTTGTTTATAGATAAAGGTAGGTACTAAAAAGATAGATATTAAAAGATAAATCATGGAGGGTGAGTAACACAAAGGCTATGTCTCGAGTCTGAATTAGAAAGTATTCGTTAGCTACGTCTGATTTCTTTGAACAGCTTTTGATGTTTGATTTTGGCCATCATGATGATGTTTTGAGGTTTTCTTAATTATTTACTTTTAAAAAACATAGATACGTATCACTCCATCTTATTTATTTACTAATGCAGGTTTTTGGTAATACAACTGAATATTCTTTTCATGCTGTGAAACTTCCTAAGATTTTCCTTTTGTTACATATTTTTTACAAATTTGTTAAAGATATGTGGCCTTGTTTATCATTCAAAGATGAACACCTTAAAATGTAGAGAGGAACTTAATATTTGCTTGTAATAAGTTTTCAGTGTTTCTAATGTTTAAGTCTCCACATTGAATCTATTTGTAGTGTTTATTCAGACTTTCTTTTAGACATTTCAACAGTAGGATTCTCCAGTTTGTTAGGCAGTTAATAAATTGCATTTCTGGTTTACCTCTAAAATAACATTGAAATTATAACTACTGTTTTGAAATTTCTCACTTCTCCTTTTATGTCACCGCTTTCAGTTAGCAGGGTTTGATTAGAACACATTTATGCAAATAAGGAACCTCTTCATTTGTGATAGTGGACTGGTGGATCAGCTGATGTGCAGGCATGTTGTGATTGAGACCCTATGTAGGTGTTATTTTAGCCCTTAAACGTCTCAATTCAAATATTTTAATTTTAGAAAATAGGAATTGTAATCTCTTACCAGATGCTTTGTTGCTCGTGTCCGGGGGGATTTCTATTCGCAGTGGCATTTCAGCTGAAGTCATTGAGGTCTGGTAATAACTATTTGCAAGACAATAAAATCCTTAGTGTTCACTGACTTGTTTTTTCATTGTTACAGGTGCTCGGGAGAAACATGCAGTTGTGCAGTGGTTCTGTCGTATTACAGAAATACCCCACAATAAGCGGAAACTGCTTAAAAGAGAGGTTTCTCCCCAAGAGGTGTTTTTTGATGAAGTTTTTTGCTATGACGTTGACATAGCTGTGGAGACCATTATTAAAAGAGTCATGGTATGTACTGCAGCCCCTCTACACGTAAAGGGAAGAAAGAAAGAAGCAAGTTGAAAAGCACAGGAGACCAGTTGAAACTACTTTATTTCCTCCCAAACCAAATGTGTGATGTAGATTTGTTAATGCAGTTAACTTGGGGATGGGATAGTTGAGAACAGTTGATACTCTGCCTTTCCTCCATCCCAGAATGACTTTGATTATTTGCAGCCAGCTCATTTAGGGGTTTGCATAGAAAGAAGTGAAAGGGGGTCCTGTAGTGCAATAAACTTATGTGAGTGTAAATGTAGATTGAAGGTGTTGCCCTGTATAACAAAGGATTGCATGAGTTCCAATAGTAAGATTTGTGAACAGGAAGCAGTTAAATGTAAAATTAACTGTAAATGTTAATGTGTTTTGGCATCTTCTGTTTTTACAGGTAATACCGCTACGTCTGGAGGAGAAAGTACCTATTTCACTAAACAAGGAACAGATTTTCTATGTAAAACAGTCTTGGGATGGGAAATGCTTTAAACCTTTGTCCCCTGACAAATTCTCTAAGCTGAAAGAAGCCAGTAAGAAACAAGGGGGCATCCCAAACTCTCCAGACTCATTTATTCCTTCAGACATGATCTCCCCCCTGAAAAAAGAATCAGAGAGAGTTGTTCAGAGTGCCACAAAACCAAAAAATGTTGAGTTGGAAATAGAGTCAAAACATTCTTCTTCCAAGTCTTCCCTCGCTAAGGAGAGACATTCACAAAGAGTGGCTAATGGCATGAAAACTCCAACAGCAAGGAAGAAGTTACAGTTAAACAGTATGTATACAGCAATACTTTGTCCATTCAGTAGTTTGGAAAGTAATATATTTTGTGCCTCTTCATTTTGGGTAGTTTAAACAATGGTAATATTTAACACCAATATTTTAAGCTGCATAATTCAGGCTTTGGGGTTACCCCAAGCCTTTTTGGGCACATCAGTTTTGTCTTATGCCTGTTATTTCAAGCAACTGTACTGCTTATATCCAATTAAAATGCAGATGTTTTATTCGTAACTGGTAAGTCTAAGTTAAAGTGCTTGTTGACTGAAATGCTGTCAGTCAGCCTAACTTGACCTCAGAACATCTCACTTTAACCTTCTGGCAGTGCACTGAAATGTTTACATTAAGCTGGTTGAATAAATACATTTGATTGTATGTAACATGCCATATTTTCAGAGTGGAGCATGAGTGAAGTTGTAAGTGACAGAGGCAGGTTAGAAAACTGGAGAAAAAAATCAATTCATATTCTATGTAATCACCTTTTTAGAGGAAATGTGTGCCTTCTGTATGTATTCAGTTCCTGGAGTGTAATGCCATCCCCTTTCATTTAAATGACAGCCACTGAGCCAGTTGTACCATTTCTTCTGAAAGTCAATCAAACCAGCCATATTAAAGCCTGACAAAAATTCATTTTCCTCTTGATTCCTAGGTCCCACAAGATCTCCTAAAGGCAGGCTCCTGGAATGCGAAGTTCTGGAACTTTTGGATGATGACTGCAATACCATAGCACCCTTAGAGCCATCAGCTACTAAAAGAAAAGTGAAATTCACTGGCATTTTGGGCTCGCCACCAAAAATACCTTGCACCAATGATAAGTCAAAGCCAACGTCTGATACTGCAGAGCACTGTCAGAAGTTCAGTGATACAATACGATTATCCCCCTATTGTAAGGTCAAAGAATCCAGTGAGAAAGCCAAGAACCTTAATGTGAAAGAGGACATTATATGGTAAGTGATAGCCTTTTAATAATTTTTTTTTTTTAGTGGGATTTCTGTTTGTATGTAGTTCTCTTATACCACATTTATGAAGGGCTTCTGGAGAGAAAAGCAGATGAAGTCTCTGTGTGTACCGTGTTTTGAGAAGATGTTGATAGGGCTAATGTCAGAGAATCTGTTTTGAACTAGTGCTAGTGCAGTCACTATTGTCACAGCATCACAGGGCAACTCGGATTTGTATGGACTCGGGGTCTTGCTTTAG